CGGCCTCCGCGCCGAGCGCCATGGCGCGGCGGCTCGCGGCCGCGCGCGTGCTGGCGCAGGCCGCGCCGCTCCTGCACGATGCGCCGCTCGCGCCGCAGCTGCTCTCGTGGCTGCACCCCACGCTCGCCTTTCTGCAGTCGGACGTGCCGCCCAGCGTGGCGCTCCTCCAGCTGCGCCGGTGCGTGTGCGAGACGCTGCGCCACCTGTACGCGGCGCTGCCGCCCGCGCAGGCCGCCCAGTGCGTGCCGCCGGACCTGCGGCAGCGCCTCCTCGTCCTGCTGCGCGACTGGGCGACGCTGCAGGACGGCACGCGCATGGCGCCCCTGCTCGCCGCGATCGTCGAGCGCGCCGCGCCCGACACGCCGCGCGACCAGGTCCTCCTCGCGCTGCGCCACGAGGTCCATGCGCTCGTGCATGCCGCCGAGCAGGCGCTCCTGGCCCTGTGCGCAGGCCCCCTGGACGCCTCCGCGTGGCTGCCCGCGCCCACGGTGCTGGGCTGGGTGTGCGAGATGCTCGCGGCGCCCCAGGCCGAGTCGCGCGCCGCCGCGCGCGGCGCGCTGTACGCGCTGCTCACGCACAACCGCGAGCACGAGGGACTGCGCGCCGCGCTCCTCGCGCAGTGCTACCGCGAGCTGGCGCAGCCGGACGCCGCGCGCACCGTCTTTGTCGTCATGGCCGACATGTACACGGCCCGCGCGCTCCCGCTGCGCGCGCACCAGGTCGTGTGCGTCGCGCTCACGATGCTCGCGCACACGGCCGTCGACGTGCGCCTCGCCGCCCTCCTCATGCTCGAGGCGCTCAGCCGCACGCGCGCGCCGCACGCGTCGCTCGCGCATGTGGCGCCGGCCGTGCGCTCGCAGCAGCCGGCCGCGTACCTCGAGGTGCAGCGCACGCTGTGCTATGAGCTCGAGCTCCCCGGCGACGCGCCCAGCGCGCTGGGCCCCGCAGAGGAGGCCAGCGACGCACACGCCGCCGACCGGAGCGCGCCGCGCTCGGGCCTCGGCGCGCAGGTGCTCGCGGAGCTTGCGGCACAGGTGCAGGAGCACGTGCCGCCAGCGCACCGCGGCGGCGTGCTCGGCCTGCTGCCGCCGTGGCTGCAGGGGCTGCGCCTCGGCGCGCCGGCGGGCGCGGCGCTCGCGCACCTCGTCTCGCTGACGCTGCTGTGCCGCGAGGCGCACCCGCTCGCGACGCGCGCGCTGTGGCACAGCGTGGGCATCGGCCTCTCGACGCCCGAGATCCATGGCCTGCTGTCCTTCTTCCAGGCGCAGGCCCTGCACTGCCGGAGCGCCGACGTTCTTGACGTGGCGCGTGTGGCGGTCGCCAGTGCGCCGGCGCCGGCGATGCTCGTGATGCAAAGGTACCTGTATGCCGCGCTCACGCCGGACATCATGGTCGTCGCGACGCCTGCGCCGCCCGCCCTCGAGGCGCCCGTCCCGGCGCCCGGCACCGAGCTGCCGCCGCTCACGCCGGCCCTCCCGCTGCTGCTCATGCTGGGCGAGTGCGTTGACGAGCTCGCGCTCCAGCGCGAGCACCTCGCGCCCCTCCTGCACGCCGTGTGCATGCACGTGGACGGCGCGCCGCCGCTCTTGGCGCCCGCGATGCTGCGCGTCGCGGAGCAGGTGCTGAGTGTGATGCACACCTCGTCTGTGCAGTGCGATCCCGCGAGCGTCGCGACGCTCCGCGCGGCGTTCGCCATGTCGCGGGCGGACCACGCACACATGACCGCCGAGCTCGTCCCGCACAAAGTGCAGGCGCTCGTCGATATGCTCGCTGCTCTCGCGGACGAGCACGGAGGCCCGGCGATGCGCGAGGCGTGGCGCGACGTGGCGCTGCACTGGGCTACGACGGGCGCTGTGCGCCGCATCGCGTGCCGCTCGCTCCAGGTGCTGCGCGCGCTGCACGCGCCCTACAGCGCGCACATGCTGCCGGGGCTCCTCGCGCGCCTCGCGGACACGCTCGACGCGCACGACGCCGTGTCGTACGTGCTCGAGGCGCTCGCGACGCTGCAGAGTCTCTTGGCGTCCGCGCCGCGCGAGGCGTCCGCGCCGCTCTTCTGGACGGCCGCCGCGTGCGTCGGCACCGCGACCGAGTCTGTGCGGGGAGCGGCGCTTGCGCTCCTCGAGGCCTGGCTCCAGACGGCCGAGCTCGCGCCCGACGCGCTCGCCGCGCTCGCCGACGCGCGGCCCGGCGCGTGGGACGCGGCGACGCCGCCGCTCCAGCATCTCCTGCTGCGTGGCCTGCACAGGTCGCAGCACGATGCCGTCACGCTCCGCGTGCTCGTGCGCCTGCTGGACGTGCGGAACGACGCGCTGGTCGAGACGCCCACGGAGGACCGCCTGCTCACGCTCCTTGTCGCGACGCTCCCATGGGCGATGCGCGCGTGCGACAGCCGTGAGGACGTCGATCTCCCGCTGCTGGCGCGCCTCGGCGAGGGCCTCGCGGCCCTCGCGCGGGCTGTGGAGCGCGCTGACGTCGAGCGTGTCGCGCACTCGATCGCGCGGCAGCGCTTCCGCCGCGCCGACGAGCTTGCGCGCCAGGCCGCGGCGTGCCTCGTGGTGGGCCGGTCGTCGGCGCGTGCGATGCACCATGTGGGCTTGCTGCTCCCCATGCTGTACCACGACACCGAGTGGGTGTGCGAGCAGGTCCTGGTGCTTCTCGTCCCGCTGCTGCAGGCGTGCCACGCACAGGGCCTCGCCGCGCTTGCGCCGGACGCGTCGCTCGACCCGCTCTTCCGCCTGCTCCGCACGCCCCTCGCGCCCTTAGCGCTGGACGTGCTGCAGGCGCCGCCGCTGGTCCGCGAGGAGGCGCACGCGCACGAGGGCGCAGGCGGCTGGGCCGGCGCGGACTCGGAGCGCGCGCAGCGCAATATGCGCGCTGTCGCCACGGCGTGGGCCGCGCATTCGCCTGAGCAGGGCGTGCAGTTCGTGCGGGACGACAGCGACGAGCGTGCGTCGCAGGCCGAGCTCGACGCGCTTGCGACGCAGCTGGACGACCTCGCGTCGTTCTTCGTGCAGGACAGCGAGGACCCCCCGTCGCCGCAGCCGTCGAGTGAGCACGTCGCCAAGATCCTCGCGCGGTCGACGTACCGGTCGCGCGACTCGGTCGTGCCCTTGGCGGCGCCTCTGCCGGACACGACGGTCAGCGAGGCCTCGTACGACACGACGGCGGGCGATGCGCCCCGATTCTTCTCGTCGCTGGACGAGTCGGGCGTGTCTGCCGCGCTCGGCGGCGGCGACCCCTTTGTGGTCGGGCGCCTCGCGCCGCGTGCGGGCGCCGCGAGTCGCGCACACTAGTTTTGTAGATACCTATGAGGCCGCCGAGCCACGCCCCATGGCGCTGCGCACCGAGTCGGCGGGCAGCGGCGGCAGCGGCTCGCCGGCGCTGGTGGGCGGCGCGAGGAAGCCCACCTCGACGAGCCATGCCAGGTACAGGCCGACAAGCGCAGGGCTGACGCCCCGCACGACGTCGAGCTCGTTCGACTCCTGCAGCAGGCGCGTCGTGTGCGCATCACTGAGCTCCGCGGACCGCGTCGAGGTCGGCAAGTCATCCAGCACAAAGTGCAGCAGGGGGAACAGCGCGTTCGCCTCGGCGTCGTTCGCCTGGCTCGTGGCCATCACGTGGTTCTCCAGCGCCGAGCGCCACGCGATGTACTCGGTGCGCCGCACCGGCCAGCCGTGCGTCGCGAGCGCGCCAAGGAACTCGTTGTACCGGATCGTGGGGTGCGACGTGACGTGGAACACCGTCGCGTGCGTCGCCGCGTCCGGCGCCCACCGCGTGCCGTAGAGCGCTGCCAGCGCAGTGACGCGCGCCACATGGTCCACCGGCACCATGTTCAGCGTGTTGTCCATGTCCGGCACGAGGCCCAGCTGCGCGCTGCCCTTGAGCAGCCGCACGAGAAAGTCGTCCGTGTTGCTCACCGCCGTGTGGCTATCGCCCACGACGTAGCCCGGACGCACAATCACCGCCGAGAGGCCGCGCTGCGCGCCGGCCATCACCAGGCGCTCCGCCACCCACTTGGACTGGCCGTACCCGCTCTTGAGGCCGTGCGCGCTGCCATCGAGCAGGTCCGTCTCAGGCACACCGCCCACCGCGTCGGACATGCGCCCCGACTCGGATAGCTGGATATAGTACTCCGTGTCGAGCGCCGACGTCGACGAGACAAAGGCCACCGACTTGGGCCGACCCTGCGCGGCGAGCTGCATCACCGCCACCGTCGACAGCACATTCGCCGCACGCAGCTTCGAGTAGGGGTACACCCAGTGCACGAGCGCGCCATTGTGCACGACCACGTCGACCTCGTCCGCCATGCGCTGCCAGTCCGCCTCGCTCAGGCCCAGCTGCGGCGCGGCCAGGTCGCCCAGGACGGCTTCCACACGCCCGCGCTCGGCCCACGCCTCGCGCCACAGGCCGCGGCCCGCGAGGGCATCTCGCACACGCGCCTGCGCCGCCGCCGCATCGCGGGCGCGCGTGTGCACGTATACCTTGCGCACCGCTGCGCTGCGCTTCTCGAGCAGGTCCGCGAGCACATACGCGCCAAGGAAGCCCGTGGCGCCGGTGAGCAGTACGGTGCATGGCTCGGGCGGCGTCGCCGCGCGGGCGAACGTCGCAGGCAGCGCCGCCTCGAGCGTCTCGGCGTCGCGGGCATAGTCGCCCTCGGTCGGCGCGTCGTCCGTGTGAGACGGCTCGGTGACCAGGTCCGTCTCGCTGCTGCGCATCTTGTCGAGCGCGGCCGCGAGCTGCGCCACGGTCGGCGCATCAAACACCAGACCCAGCGGCACCGGCGCCGCGAGACGCTGGCGCAAAAGGAACACGAGACGCGTCGCAAGAATCGAGTGGCCGCCCAGGTCGAAGAACGACACGTCGAGCGGCACGGGCGTCGCGACGCCGGGGAGCAGCTCCGCCCACACGTCCGCGACGGCCGCCTCCGTCTGCGTGCGCTCGCGCGTGTCACGCTGCGCGCTCGCCGCCTGTGCCATGCGCTGCGCAAGCACCGTATCGGGGAACGGCAGGACGGGCTTGTCAATCTTGCCGTTCGGGTTCAGCGGCATCTTGGCCAGGGGCACAAAGAGCGTCGGGATCGAGTACGACGGCAGCTTGCGCTTCAGGTACTCGCGAATGTCCTGGATCAGCGCATGGTAGTGCGCAATGCGGCGCAGCGTCTCGCGCTGCGGGCCCTCCGGCACACCGTCCAAGTCCACGGCCACGGCGTCCTCGGCCGGCAGCACACCTGTCGGCACAAAGTACGAGACCAGCACCTTCTCCTCGTCCTTGTCGCGGCGCACCAGTGTGACGTTCTCGCGCACTTGTGGGTGCTGCGAAAGGTGCGTGTCAATCTCGCCGAGCTCAATGCGGAAGCCGCGGATCTTGATCTGGTCGTCCGCGCGGCCCGTGCACTCGACCGTGCCGTCCGGCAGGTAGCGTCCCAAGTCGCCCGTCCGGTACAGGCGGTCGCGCGGCCCCTTCCAGTACGCCCCCTCTGGCGTACCCTGCAGCGTGTCGGGGATCACAAGGTCTGGCGCAAGCCAGTTGGCCACAAACTTGTCGGCCGTGACTTCGGGCGGGCCGAGGTAGCCCTCCGCCAGACCACCAGAGCGCACGTAAATCTCGCCGACCTCGCCGACCGCGCACGTCTCCTGCCGCGCGTGGCGGTTCACCACCAGCAGCTGCACATCGATCATGCCCTGACCCGCAGGCATCGTGTCCTTCTGCGTCTGCAGGAACGCAGGCTCCCTGCTGACCGGCGGGATCGCAAAGTACGACACGGCTCGCTGCGTCTCGGTCGTGCCGTACATGTTAATGATGCGCACATGGGGCGCCAGCGACTGCAGGCGCGTGCAGTCGCGCTTGGTCAGAATATCGCCCACGAAGAACGCGTTGCGCAGCGTCGGAATCGATGCCGTGGCCTGCGCGGCAAGCAGCTGGCCCATGGCCGGCGTCAGGTGCGTCACGGTCGCCTGCGACGCCGCCATCCACTCGGCCAGGCGCCCCGGCGTGCCAATGTCCTCGGCCGTCGGAATGTGCAGCTCGGCGCCGAAGAACAGCGGCGTAAACATATCGCGCTGGATCGGGTCGTGCGCAATACCACTGAGCATCGTGAAGCGGTCCTCCTCGCCTAGTTGGAAGCGCTCGCCCATCCACGGGAAAAAGTGTGTGAGACTGTAGTGCCGACCCTGCACACCCTTGGGAATGCCCGTCGAGCCGGACGTGAACGAGAGCGTCGCAACGCTGTCGGGGCCCAGCACCACCCCCGTCGACTGCGCCGCAAGCGCTTGCGCCGACGCCAGTACATCCTCGCCACCCACGGCACCACCGTGCACGGAGCCGTCCGGGCGCAGCTCCAGCGCCGGCATCTCTAGACGCAGCTCTAGCTCGTGCTCAATGCACTGGCGCACCGATGGCTGCAGCACACCGGCCTTGGCCAGCACAACCAGCGCGCGCGGCCGCGCCACCTGCAGGTAGATGTTCTGCCGGCTGGGAGGGTACGTCGGATCAATCACACTAAAGGTCGCGCCAGCCTTCAGCACACCCAATACGGCCACGACCAGGTCGACACCGCGGTGCGCATACACCGTGACAACCTCGCCGCGCTGCACGCCTGCTTGTAAAAGACGATGCGCGACCACATTGCTCGACAAGTTGAGCTGTCCGTAGCTCACTGTGCGCACAGTCGAGGCAGGTGCGCCGCCCGCCGCAGGACCGTCTTGCACGCTCTCCACGAGGCAGCGACGCTCGGGGAAGGCTGCTGCATTCTTCTCAAAGATGCTCGTGATACTCCCGCGGTAGCCACACCAGTCGAGGTCCTGCCGTGGGTTCGGCAGCTTGGCCGCCTCGGCGGCCGTGCGGATGAGGATGCGGCCGATCGGCGTCATGGGATCCTTGGCGGCCGAGTGGATAAGCTGATCCAGCTGCGCGAGCATGCTGTCAATCCGCGCGCCAGAGAACAGCAGCGCATTGTACGACAGATGCACAGCCACTGCCCGGAAAGGATCGCTGCGGAAGCCGGTCGTCGGCTCCGCGGGCGCCTCGGTCTGCGCAAGACCCGTCTCGGCGCTCACCTGGGCGCTCGGCGGCGTGATAAACATAGACAGATCCGTCGATACGTTGGTACGCTGCAAAAAGTGCTGCAGCGAGTGTGTCTCGTCAAAGAAGCGCACACGGAACAACGAGGAAGTCGCGTGTGGCGACGGCCCTTCGAGCGCCACGCGGTCGGCCTCGATGCGCTGAGCAACCTGCTCAAACGGCACATAATGCCGCACAGCCTCGTTCTCCACTGCCTGCACGCGCATAGCCACCTGCCAGAATGCATCACCTGGCTCCATTCGGATGCGCAAGACAATCGCGTCGCCCGTCGAAGGGTGGTTCGAGGCGACGACAATGTCCGTGTCGCCCGTGTACCTGTGGATCAGCACAATGTACGCTGCCAATAGCAGGTGGCACAGCGTCGGCATCGCCTCTTCGCCGTCGCTATGGTCGAACAGCGCGAGCCGCCCGAGCGCCCGGCACGTCGATACCGGCAGCTCGTACGACTTAAGCGCATGCACCACACGTGTAGCGGACGGTGGAGGGTAGTCCATCGGAAGCGCAAGACGCGGCACACTGCGCAGCTGCGCAGCCCAGTACTCCATATTCTCGGACGCCGTCGCCACAGAAGGCGCGTCCTGCTGCATGGTCGTACGGCTTTCAGCGGGCATGACTCGCTGGCTCGTCGGCTTTCGTATCACGTGATACCCCACAGCGCGCGGCTCGACTGCGAGCCCACTGCGAGGTGCGGCTGCTGATGGGGTGGTGGCGCACGAGCGAAGCACCGCTGCCAGCCGGGGGCACCGAACCCACGGCCCCCGCCTCCAGACCAGGGGAACATGCAGCCGAGCCCTCACAGATATATTCTATCCTGCTTGAGGCGTCCTCGCGACCGGAGCCTCTTGTCGTGCCGTTTAGCACGCTGCTTGTCTCGTCGGCGATGACTTTGGGCTTCGTGTCCGGCTTTGCCAACGGCGCGCGACACACGGCGCTTGTCTTTCTTGCAGAAAATGCACATCGGCGTCCAGAGACCGTCCAGGGCTGGTACTTTTACAACAAGACCAAGTACTATCGCATGATCCTCGGCGGTTTCCGGCGCGGCGGACAGACCGGCCTGCAGCTGGCGGGCTGGGTCGGCGGGTGGTGCCTGCTGGATATACTAACAGAGAGCGTGCGCTCGTACGTCGCTGAGAAACGGGGCGAGGAACGACCGCCGCACACCTCCCTCGACCGTCACGGCCTGGGGCACTGGTTCGACGGTGCCGTTGCAGGCGTGTCGACTGGCCTCATTAGTGCTGTTGGATGTACGTATCGGTGGCTGACAAGCGAGTCCGCGTATCCGCACCTACAGTCCCTCGCATGGTGCTCCTCGGTGCGCTCGCCGGTGGCACGACCGGCGCTTTGCGCGATCTCCGGAATGCCCTGCTCTATAGTAACGATATACATCCATTCTAGGCATCTTATCTGCGCATCGCGCGCGCCTCTGCATCGGCAAAGTATTTGTTTTGGCGCTCCTCGAGTACCCGACGCTTGTTAAAGTATTCGATCTGATGTTAGAATAGGCGCTTACCCAGCTCTGCGCACAGCTGCCCTCGTAGGCATCACGCTCCCGCAAACAGGGATCGTTCGAGCGCTCCATTGCTGCAAGCTGCGCACGCTCTGCCTCGCTGCGGCGCGGCTCCGCGAATGATCCTGCGCCTAGCGGGCCCTTGATCCCAGTCATATCCGTGCCAGGAGGACTATGTATGTTGTGCTTTGTCAGGCACGCATAGTAAGAGTCGCGGTTGTCCCAGCATCGCTGCCGGTTTGATCGTGTAGCCGCCGACTTCGACATGTCACTCGGGCGGTGCGATGGGAGAAACGAGCGAACTCCACATCAGGCCGCATCCTACGCGGCCGACCTAACAAACAACTGACGCCCTCCGAAGAATCGTCATGTATCCCTCGATACTACTTGTAGCTATAGTGCCTGGCAAGCACCCTTTTACTAGATTCAGCCCCTGGAAGGGCCCCCTCATCCTGCTGGGCCTCATCCCATCGGGCAAGGCGACCCTCTCTTCGCACCTCCACTTTCGTCTTCTGAGGCCGTCCAGGTACTCAGTGCATGCTTCGTGGGTGGCGCGCGCCTTGCTTTCTCTCTGTCATGTCGCAGATACAAACAAGGATTCTACCTGTGCCACACGTATCTTTTTCGCTGCGTCCCGCAGATTTTGGCCTCCAGTTCAGTGACTCATCGCATCCCCAGAGCGAAGGAACAGAACCGTTGGAGAAACTACAGGTAACCTTTCTTTCCGAGCAGTCGAGGTACAGCCTACAGAAGGCTGCGACACATTTGCGCTCGGGCGAACTTGTTGCCTTTCCTACAGAGACAGTGTACGGCCTGGGCGCGTGTGCCTTGCGGTCCGATGCATCAGAGCGCATTTACGCTGCAAAAAACCGTCCGGCTGACAATCCGTTGATCGTGCATATCAGCGACACCCATATGCTACAGCATCTTCTTCCCTCTTCCTTCCAGATCAACGAGGCATGCTGGGCGCTGATGCAGGCGTTCTGGCCCGGTCCCCTGACTTTGCTGTTTCCCGTGGGCCGAACGTCCGATGGATCCCCTACGGTGCCTAGCACTGTCACATGCGGACAGCCGACCGTCGGCGTGCGCATGCCCTCTCATCCCGTGGCCCGCTCTCTGATTGCACTCGCTGGAGTGCCAATTGCTGCCCCCTCAGCGAATGCGTCGGGCCGTCCATCACCGACGGCAGCCGCTCACGTCATGAACGACCTGGGCCCTCGCCACGTCCTTTCGTATATTGTTGACGGTGGTGAATGCCATGTGGGTGTCGAAAGCACCGTCGTCGATGCTACGACTGTCCCTGGCGAGGTGCGCGTACTCCGCCCCGGTGGCATCACCGTGGAGCAGCTGTCAGAGGTGCTTCGCCCTTTTCCATCCATATCATTGAGGGTCTACGGTAAAGATCTAGCTCGGAGTGCTGTTCAGGAAGCAGCACCCACAACGCCAGGCATGAAGTACAGACACTACTCACCAGATGCTCGTGTCTTGCTTGTTCGTGATGGCGCGCAAACGGACCCGAGCATTTCGCAAGTAATTGAAAGCACTGCGTCGTCACTCGGAAGGGAACGAGATATGCGCGTTGGCCTCATGTTCGCCCTAGACTCACCACTACTACGGAGCCTTGATGTGCCCGCGATCCTCCAATGGGCCCAATCCGATCCCCCGGACCGCCTTTCGCCGGTGGAACGACTCCCTGGTTTGCAATTGTGTCTGTATTCGTTGGGTCAGCGGTCCGAGCCCGACGTAGCAGCTCGGCGGCTCTTCGACGGGCTCCGTACTCTAGACGCCTGCGTGGCATGGTCTGGGCAAGAAGGTGCTTGCGATCTTATCGTCGCAGAGGAAGTGGATGAAGCAGGTGTGGGACTAGCCATCATGAACAGGCTGCGCAAGGCAGCTAGCAGTACCATTCGCGTTTCAGTGCCGTAACGTGTTGTATGTATGTACATTAGGCTACCTGACTGGCCATCGGCTTCGGAAACGAGTGCGTGCGTGAAGTCGGATCAGGCTCCGGCATTTCAACCGCATGTCGCTTGCGGCGCTCCAAAATAGTCGCACCGTTGAGGTTCAAGCTAAAAGCATCCGCTGGACCACGCACCGATGGGGGTGCAGAGTGAGCCGCCTGCTTGTCTGCAATGATTTTTGCTGCCAAGTTACCATGTCGTTGCTTGGCACGATCCACATCGTTCTTCGTAGGATCGGCACGCATACCAGAGATATTCTTCCACATGCGCGAGCGGAGAGAATTTGAGTCATGTTTTTGCGCCTCGCGCATCTCTTCCTCGATTCGATGAACGGCGAAAGAGACATCAAAGGCCTCACGCAGATAGTTTTTGTTGACAGTACGGCGATTGTCTTCTGCCATTTCAGTACCGTGCAGGGAGGCTAGAAGAGGCGAATCCATCGCGGAGCTGTCGAGCCCCAGGTGAGCCAGTTGTCGTCGCGGCGTGGGTATCGGCGGCTTGGCAAGAAGGGGCTTGGCTGGCTGAATCCATGGGTGGTCGAAGAACTCGTCAATAGTCAAGCGTTTATCAACATCAACACACAAAAGCTTGGCAACAAGGTCCTTCGCATCGTCGCTTATATCGTCCCACCATGGACTCATAAACGAATATTGCCCGCGTGATACTTTCTCAGACAGAGTCTTGATGGACTCGTCGTAAAAGGGAGGAAAGCCGCACAGTAGGGTATACAAGACACATCCGAGGGCCCACATATCGACACTCAAAGAGTAGTGCTGGTAGCGGACAATTTCAGGTGCCGCATACCCTACCGTGCCACACGGAGTCTTCGTGCTTTCCTCCCATACGATTTTGCTCAGGCCAAAGTCGGCAATCTTGACACGGCCGATACCACCACCACCTTTGCCAGGAGTAAATTCACCCTCGTCTGCTTTGTCTTCATCATAGGGGCGCACAACGACCTCTTTGGAAGGTATAATATCAATCTTTTCGAACAAGAGATTCTCCGGCTTGATATCCCGGTGGACAATGCCACACTCCTTGTGCATATAGCGAATACCCTCCGCCACCTGGCAGATGATATGACGCGCTAGCGGCTCGCTCATGTAAGTCAGCTTGACAATCTGATCAAACAGCTCACCGCCATCGAGCATCTCCATAACAAGGAAGCAATAATCATCCGACTCGCAAAAGTCGAGTAGTTGGACAATAGAAGAATGTTGAAGACGTCTCATGATCTGCACCTCTTGGAGGATATTCGATCGCTCCGTAGTTCGAGACTGTTCGCGTAGCCTAGCATCGAGGACTTCGTTGCCGGATGACTCATGTTTACGAACGGCTTTCAACGCGACGTGAAGATTTGTTTCGCGGTCGATGGCACGATAGACCACGGAAAACGTTCCTTCTCCCAACTTTTCAACGAGCACATAGCGGTCGGGTAGCCCAGGGTACTTGGGAATGTCCCTGGCTCGCTCACCCTGCGCCGTGACATCATCGTATTGAGCCTGCTGCAGCAAGGACATAGCACCGGGAGCAATTGTCGTAGATCCTTGCGTTGAAAAGCTCGAAGCACTAGGCATGGGCTCATCTACCAGCACCCCCGAGCCAGCTAATGTAGGTGTAGCCGTAGTATTCTCAACGAGTGCAGGCGAGGCTTTCTGAGATGACAACGAGACAGATGGCGACACCTGTGTCTCTGATTTCAGATACTTGAACAGGTTGACCATACTGACAACGATCCCACAATGGCCGAAAAACCTCGACCTTTGTGGTGTGGCGCACGCAAGACCTTTTCAGCAGAGCAATATTCCAAATTTAGTTTGCCGCGGGAAAAGGCACCTCTGAACGCTTACGTCCTTTGAGCGATTATTTGCCCGTGTTATATTGATGACATAAGTGTCACAGGCCTGGCTCGCCGCCGCGGAGATAGCCAGGCCGGTGTCCCACAATCCGCTGGGCATCGGATTGAAGGCAGTCATGCCTTCGTTCTTTGAATGCATGCTTTATGCCCTAGCCATATACTGGGCTGGATTGTTTTACCACAGATGGTCCGTACATGCCAGGACGCGGCAATTTGTGCTGGAACAACGCCGAAAAGCAGGGATCCCTGACTCCGACAATCGCCCACTGGCTGTGGCCGCCGCGGACGTAGCGTCTCGTCGACAACAAGAGTTTGAACGCCAAATAAAAGAGACAGAGGATGTATTTGGTCGTCCAAATCCCGCGCCTATGCCTAGAGCGGGCGTGCCAAAGCCTAGTTTCCGACCTGCACCAGTGCCGCAGCCCTCCATTGTCTATTCTCAACCCCATGGACGACATCCTTCACCAGAAACATTTTATGGTCCCATTCATCCCAAAGTGCAAATGGCACCGGCAAGGAAGCGTGACGCAGATGAGATCTCTGAAATGGAGGCCTCAAACGATTATCATGCTGTGCCTCGTCGCGTGCGTCGTCGTGTTTCCCTCATTGATGATAACACCCAAGAAAAACCTAGTGCCACTGATGTCGCTGATGGTTCAGAGGATGGCATGGAAGAAGATGCCTCGCTAGATGAAAGTGACAGTGGCTCATATGAAGACGATGAAGTGATGGACGAGGTTGACGATCTTGAAGAGTCCGAGAATGAAGAAAATTCCATGGATGAAGACGAAATTCAGCAGGCTTCCACATCTCAGGCAGCACCTGCGAAGCGCCCAGCGGATACAAGCGGCGACCATGTTCCAGGAGACGAGTGGCAAGACGCAAATGGCTTGCGTTGGCGCATCGGTGAGGATGGCATACCTCGCCGGGCCGTTATGCTGGTGGAGATGAAGCTCAAATACAATATGCCTCGCGATACATTGCATCCTGATGCGCGTGCTCGTGTGCCGACCTATGTGGAAAAGTTTCTGTCGCATGACGAATACGAAGAAGCTAAGCGTAGAAAGCAGCTGAGCTGGCAACACGAGGCTTCCCATTCTCAATCGCATTCTGATTCCCCTCCATCATTCCAGAGCGATGACACGGTTGAGGATAGTCTTGCCAGTCTTGTTGCTCGGCGCTCCTATGCACAACTGCGCTCCAAAGCTGGTCGCCAGCTGCTCTTCAGTGATGTGGCTGGAAGTGGACCTCTTGGTCGGTCACGCCCTGCGTCGCTTGTGGGCGACGACTCCATGTCGAACGTGTCTATGAGTGACCATGGCCCCGACGACAGTACCTCTTTTTCTTCTTCCATGGCTGGTGATGGCCCCCTGTCATCATCACGCCGTCTCCGCCTTGCTCGGTCCCCTGCGGCATCGCCGTTGGCCCGAAGTGCTTCACCTGCACGATATGCGCCTATGCTCAGTCAGCGGTACGCGCGCAGCCGCGGGTCGTCATCCTCCGTACTGTCGCCATCGCACCCTGCTCTTGACCCAGAGGTCAAGCGCCAACGTGGTGAGCTGCTTCTCAATCGACTTCGTAAGGAGCGGTCAGAATCAAAGCGGAGTTAGCCACCCGGACAAGATACCAACAAAATAGAGCCCCGCTTCGGCAATAGTTGTGCCCATGTGGAGACGTAATATATCCGTCATTCTGCCACGATGCGCCCCACTTTGGCTTATAGGTTGCGGGCCACGCTGCCCCTGCCCAATGCCGGGAGTGCGATATCTACGCCCTCAACTGCAGCTGCTAGTGATCAGGACGCTGCCGCACTAGGACGGTTTTTCTACCGTAACAGAATGGTGAACCGGTGGGGTGGCTTACCCGCCCGGCGAACCACGCTGCAACAGTTGATCATGTTTGGTCGTTCAGCTCGGCGAAACCGGACTCTTTTAATGGAGAGTGCCAACTACTTGCGCACGGAAATGACCACTCGTATCGCGCATCGTCTTCGTGATATGCAAGCGATCCCGTTCGTGGCCATGTCCAATGAGCAACTCGACTCGATCTATCAGTTCTACTGGCGTACCTTTGAGACTTTGCGCCGAATGAGCAAAATCGAGACAGACGAACAAAATGAGCATTTGATCGAAGTAGTAACGCAGCTCCTGTCGGAGCGGAAGAGCAAGCTCGACCTGATCGTGGGCATCTCGCGCGAATGTGTGAATTATATGGAACCCGAGGCTGTCAACCTATTTCTCGCTCGAATGCTCCGCTCGCAGGTGTCGCGCGAAGTTCTGGCGAAGCAGCACATTGCTCTCTCTGTCATGCAGACGTCTGCTTCGCAATATGAAAAGCGCCCCTACGAGATTGGGATGGTTCACACCCATATCAACGTAAATGATACCATCCAGCGGTGCGTTCAGCTAGCTCGCGAGAGTCTAGCAAACACGTACAAGTGGGACATTGATGATCCTCGCATCCCCAGGGTGGAACTCTCAGGTGACTTGAATGTACATATTGCTTACCTACCGGCCCATCTTGAATTCATATTACTTGAGCTATGCAAGGTTTCGATGCAATCAACCTGTCAACGCCACGAAAATAGCGGCCACAGCATGCCCCCTGTGCATATCCTTGTGGTAGGAGGTGCAGACAAAGATGACATGATGATTCGGTTCTCTGATCAAGGCGGTGGTCTGCATCCATCCAAGCCGCGAAAAGAGGGCCATGACGAGAGTCATCGCGCCACGCTTGCCCGAGGCCCTCTCCTGCTTCCTGGTGTGGAATCGCTACGAGAATCCTCCAGCTCCCCCGCCAGTCTTGTATGGTCGTTTCACAACATTGGCAAACAACTTGACAGCATGAATTTAAAGCTCGAGGCTACCTCCACGGCCAACCTGTCGCAGAGTGAAGTTGACGGCGCTGTCACTCCCGACCCAACAGCGTCGTATCCAGGTGGTGACGGACTTATGCGTCTCTCGGTATTAAACATGGACTCGAAGAAAGGGCTTCCTATGGTTAAGCTATATGCAGAACTCTTCGGCGGCGCGCTGGATTTCCGCACTTTGGATGGATATGGTACGGATATGTACCTAAGTCTTCCAAAATTCGGTACATCAATGGAACTGCATGAGTAGACCCTGTGGCAACACTTAGTCCAAGTCTGTGTTAATTGTGTATACGTACAGTGCATAAATAAGAGCACTAAACCACTGATGAGGAAAAAAATGGAGAGCCAACGATTTGCCTGCCGATTGCGCTCCTTGGCTTTCTGTAGCTGTTGGTTTCCGCGTGTCACTTGCTCACCATGGCTACCAGCCTCTGTCAATAGGGTATCAATATGCTCGTTCTGTTCTTGCAGGTGCTGAACAATACGGGTTTGTAGCGCAGAAATATCCTGCAGTTGCTGCTCTGCATGCTGAACAGCAGCCAGATCTGCTTGAAGTGACTCGACAAGGGCTGAGGCTTCCTCTTCAAACATATGCAATTGCTCCTGAGACAGTTCATCTGCGACATCTACGCCGCGATCACCCATGGTGCCAATGCTGCCCCGCAAGATCTCTTCAGAGAAACCAGCCTGTGAATTGTGCGAGGAAACTTTGGCACTGTCCGCTAGATTCTCGTAGCGCTGCCTTTGAGCGGCTACGCGTCGCTGTTGCAACATTGCCTGAACAGAAGACGCATGAGCTAGTTGCTCGGAGAGGTACTGCGTGATTGCCATATGATGGGCATGAAGTGCATTGGATGCCGCTCGCTGCTTATTCAAGGAGCTGTTCTGCAGCAGGTTCAAGGGAGAAAGAGATGTAATACCCGCCCGAGTTAGCGCTTTCTCCAGGGCATTAAACCGCAAAGTTTCGCCATGCTCAAGCTCCTGGACGCGATCTAGACATTGTTTTACCACCAGTTTGACTTGAAAGTCCACTTCGTCGCGTTCCGCTTCTGTCAATGATGTGTTGTGCTGCCACTTAGAAAATGCATCTTGAGAAGTATTAGCACTATTGATATCATTTGTTTCTGAGCCAGTTGATCGTTTTCCTTTCGATGTCACATTTAAGTAGGGACGTCGAATCATACTCAAAAAGTTGAACAGGGAGACGATGTGCCGCCTGACCGTATAAGCTTCATTCGTCCATAATGACGCTGCCTCGCGCTGCTTGACCATGGCAGGGTCCATTTCATGATTTTTGGGCCCATTTGTCGGTGAGGCAGCCTGTGATTTAAGGAGCTCACGGAACGCCCCCGTCTCGTCCACCACAGGCGGTACTGTTGGCGGCATGTACGGCGTTGGGTGACGAGAGGCCTAACCTCCACAAGAGGCATATGGTTCAGTAGTCCTAGCAAACACTACATGCGGCGACGTCGTCGGCCGGAGTATTTCGAATCATGAGGCACATGCTGCGGTTAGCATCCAGAAATCGTACCTCTTTGCCTCGCAACCTGTTGAGTTCCTTCTTGCGCTTAATATAGTCTTTATTTGATTCCAAGTTCTTGTTTTTACGGTGTCGTAACCGGCGCTCATCCACAGCCTTCCGCGACTCATTCTTCACAGTAGGAGTGTGTTCATCAAAGTCGAGTGCTTGAGGAAGCTGCTGCTTTACTCCTTGGCCCTCACCATTGGGACCTACCATCATTTCACCGCCAACCCACAAAACCAGGTAAATTTTCTTAGCCTTGACTGAGTTTGGGTAATCAACGACCAGACCGCCACCAAAACCGGCCTTTGTTGCTTGGCTCATTATAAAAGTCACTTGGTCATCACTTTCAGGATAAAACTGGAACACACATCGAGCGCCGCGAGTTAAACATGCGTACAATGTAGAAAAGAATGTGCTTAATCGCCCTGCAGGAGAGTTATAGCTAGTATCAGCATTGCAAAGCCATTGAAGGACAGAAATGCTAATGGCACCGTCAAAACTGCCCGGCCGGAACATGCATCCGTGACCAGCATCAGACAAGATCATGTCACCTTCGACGTCTCGCTCCAGGCCGACGCTCAGCATGCTAGGGCTAATATCAAATCCAATCCATTCATATCCCATTTCTGTCAGAATTTCTCCGGAGAGACCAGAGCCACAGCCAATATCCAAGATCAGGCCAGGCTTGCGGTGCTCCGGCAGAGCCATAAGCTCAATAGCTCGTATGGTCATATCTGCTTGAATTTCTTGATTGCGAGTACTGGAAACGTTAATTTAGAGAACTTACTTGGCTGTGTATTTTCGCGCTTCTACATCGCCATAAAAGATCTCAGGCGGAGCTAAGTGCTCCGGACGACTCATGGTATGCGAAAAATTGGGCGGCGTACATTTGGTGGAGGCTATTTGGGTGCTGACTCAGCACAGGGGCACAGGCCAGGGTCAGGCTACCGACGATGGTCTACTTGGCCTTGGCACGCACAGCCGCGGCTGCAGGTCCAGGAGTTACACGCTGCGCAACACCTGACTGATCGGTGGCTCGTGTTGGTGGCTCGGGGACATCCACAGCGGACGGGAGCATAAATAGCACAACCACTGGCAGGATGTACATCCAGTACTGCTGCAAGAACTCAACAAGGTTCTTTGGCGGGTCCTTTTTGCCCATTTTTGTACCAGGTCTAGATTCTTTTTCAGATCCTGTAGTAGTACTAGAGTCTCCCGTAGTGTCTTTCAACTCCGGACTGTCGTCAGTCATCTTTTATACGCACATGGGGGCCGACTCGGGCACCATAACGCGCATGTCCGTGCCAAACGTGCTAGGGTACACGGGTTGAGTGTCCTTGTCAAAAATGGGGCAGGACTGAGCATCCAGCTTGATGTCTTGCTCTACCACATAGGCCATGCTTGTGATATGAGCGGGCGAGGAATCACTCGTAGGGACATTAGACAGACGAATTTTGACAGCATCCAGCAATGGAACATCAGTATTAGGGACAAGAAGTTGACACTGCCATTAGTATAGTATTCAACGCACAAGCTTGACAGATGAAAGAAAGCCGGCGTCCCTATCAATCCATTGGCGGTTTTCCTCATCAGTGTACGAACGAGCATCGCCAGGCACCATTTTCAGCTGGTAGAGAGCATTTTCATATGCTTCAGGAAACTCGAGATTGGATGAGAAATTTTCGGACGAAGCCAAAGACATGCCTTGAGGGGTTGTCGGAATCGTCAATAACATTCTAGGGAACCATGGAGACACTTTTTCCTCGCCATCCATGGTGCGAGTAACACGGTGTAAAAGTGTATAGGTCAGAGTTCCTGTATGCGCCAAAACAGGCGACGCGCAGAAAAGCGCAGCCGCAAACGCAAGTGTCAACTTCATGCGTCGCCAAGTTGACAAAGTAGCCCAGATGGGCGGGGTAAGTACTTGGGTGCCACGTGGTGATTACACTACGAGGTACGTACGGACTACGTTCTGGGCCAGTTTGGGGGAGCCGGACTGGGCATATATGAGGGCTAGGTTGTAAGCAGCCTCTCGGACCATGGTGAATCCAACGGAAGAGCCCTTCGATGCATTCTCAAGCACGCGCTCATAGCGCGGAACGGCCAGATGGAGCAACCCTAGCTGATGTAGTGCACGGCCGAAGTTGTAGTCCACCTCCGAGCACGGCCCACGGAGTGCAGCATAGTGCGACAAAATACTCAATCCTTGTACGATTGTGTGGTTTCGGTTGTCCACTTGCCGGTTGGTTGCGCGACTCAGACTTGCTACAGCGCACAGCAAGCACAAAAGTGGGTCCTCTGGCTGAAGTGCCCAGGCTCTGAAAAGATATCCCATGGCTGGCTGATAGCTGTTAGCACAGAGCATCAGATAGCCATAAAATATCTCTTCGATAGGGGAAGGACACGTCGGTGGTGGCTGTGCCCTGATCTGATGTAAAGATTCGTCCTCGATTGGCTCTTCTTCAGCATCCACACCTACAATCGTCCAGCGACCAGTGCGTGGGTTGACTTTAGCGGGAAGGCCATGCACAATCGCTTCATGCGTGCGCATGCGACGCTGGTATTGCTTTGTATTAGTAGAGCTCACAAATGCATCCACGCTGTAAAAGCCAAGACTGTTAGACAGGGAAGCGATAAGGCGCAGCGGCTCATTGTGGAATTGGTACGTGGTCGGAAACCAGCGGGCAATGTCAAACACACGTGCCATATCACGAGAGTATAGTGCGCATGCTGCCTGTAAGTGTTGTATACGTACCAAGCCATGCCAAATGCAGGGCCATTTTCCGCTCTTCAGAGGGCCATACCGTGTTGGAGACCATGACGTGTTGAAACATTTCATGGATGGCGTCATCTTCACCGCCCACTTTGGCCAGCGCAATGCCATATTTCATAAACAGTGAAATCCAGTCATCAAAATGAATCGTGCGGAAGGTTGTCTGTTCCAAATCCCGCACGTCGTCTTCATGGGACACGGCCTCATCCACCATCTGGTCACGCAAACGTGAAAGTAGCTCCTCAGCTTGACTGTCGAGATCAGAAGGTTTGTTAATGCGTCTTGTGCGCCGCTGTCGGAGGACGCCGCGGTACTTTGTATATCGTTCCTTGGGAAACAGCAGCGACATGGACCGGAACGAGTCGATGAGCCGGCCTGCGACTTTGATCCACTGTCGCGTTGCTTCGAAGCGGTCCGAATCGGCGTGACTAGAGCTAGCTGAGTCTGCATCGATGGGTCCATCGAGAAAGACAAAGTCATGCCGCCAAAATCCATCCACAAAAACCTTGGGCTCGAGTGCGCAAAGTTGCACCCATGCCAAGCGCGTTTCCTCCTCGCGCTGCTGCTCCAGACGCTGTCGTTCGACAAACGTCATGTTAGAGCGAGCGGCGCGAGAGGCACCTTGGGAAGTACCTGACGATGGCCCGAGCGCTGACTCGTTAAAGAATGACAAGGAGGCAGGCGCTTCTAGCTCAATGACATTACCGTCTGGGTGGCCTTGCGCGCTTGATTCTGCAGGACCCTCGCGCAGTTCGCTCCGAGCAACCAGCACCTCATTCACGAGATCGAGCGCCTTATCGCGCTCATTCAACTCTTCATATACTTCAGCAAGACTCAGCTTTACGTCGTGGTGGGACGGATGTTCTTGCAATATCAACTCATACACTTGCACGGCCTCCCATGGCATATCTAGGTTTTGATAGCATGCACCCATATGAACCCAGACCTGTATATCTTCCACAAGGCCCTCGTCGATCAAAAGTTTGTACCCTTCTAGGGCCTCTGCGAACATCTGGTGCTCGAAATAGCAATCGGACATTTCAAGATACAGAATGGGGTAGTCCAGTGGATCCGACTCCTCGGCGATGATGTTGAAGTGGCGTTTACCCTCCTCGTTACACTTCAGCACGAAGCGCGCCTTACCCAGACGAAGGCGGACTTCTCGGTCGAGTTCCTGTACCTCACCATCCACAGCCTCATCCAGTTCCAAGTCGTTCTGTGCGTCATCGAGGCGGTCTTCGCGCGTCTCGCCACGAAGCCATCGGACCGTTTGCTTAATAACAAGAATGACTTGCAAGGGTCTGCGCATAAGCAAAAGCAGATCGGCCAGTGTCACTAGCTCGTTCAAAGAAAAGTGAACCTGTGAATCTGGCACGGCGTCCCCTCCCAGAGCCGGGTCGATGTTCGGATCCACCGCGCCGTGCATGCTTGCACGGCGCATGCCCTCAAGAATGTTCACGCCCACCTCGTACTCATTTAAGGATACAAGGAGCGGAATCAACTCACGGAGAACTTCTGCGTCATATGGCTGTAGTTTCAAAATCGCTTGAAAGGCATCCACCGCAGGCCGCAGGCGTCCTGACTCTTTCAGCATGATAGCGCGATCCCATATCGCATCCACATCAAACCGGTTTTTCTTAATCGCCTGTTGCAAGCAGTAAATAGATTGTTGGAAGAGACCGCGCTCGCGACTTCGGCGAGCGAGGGATTTCCACTCCTCAGAGGCATTGGACGTAAGGTGTGCGCCAACGATACGACATTGAATCGACTTTTCCTCTTCCCCAAGCTCCTCAAAGCACATGCCCAATGTATACCAAGCACTTTTCACCGTGGGCTCGATACGAATGACTTCTTCTAGCTGCTCAATGGCGCGTGGCAGATTCGACTCCACGTAGGAGATGTTGGCCTGAGCAAGCAGCGCCTTGACTTCAGAGGAAAGCGCCTGCTCACGAATGCGCGTTGCCTGAGTCAGCGAAAGTGAGACGTGCCTTGTTTTTCCTGGTGTACCCATTCACATCGCGCAACTCGTGGTGGAACGATTCCATCTCCGCCTCCATCGACTGTTTCCATGCATTGCGTTGAGTCGACGGCGTCTGCTTCGTGGAAGGAGTGTCCTGAAAGGCATGAATCAGACGCGTGAAATCCTCTTGTTCAATATCAGCGAGTTCATCTTCCTCGGGCAGCGAGGCCGGAGGCGCGGGGCCCTCGTCCGGCTCGTATTCATCAAAGGCGGAAGAACCCGAGGCATCGCTATCATAAGTACTTCCATCTTCTTCCATAAAATCATCGTAGCCCGATGGGGGGGGCTGGGCGTCAGCGTGACGAGCGCGTGGCGCAGTGGCACGCGCCATGTCCGTGAGCTCGGAGCAGGGACGACGCGTATGGACCTCCACGTTGCCGGGTCAGGCACAGACCAGCCTAAGCAGTGAGCCAGACCTCCACACATCGGCCGAACTGCCAGGCCGCCTCCCTCCTTTGCCCCACGATGGTCGAGCCGCCGCCTGTGTTGAAACCGCCGCGTGGTACGGTGGCCTACTATTATGACAGTACGAAGCCTTTTATTTACGATCAGATGATGTAGGAAACTTTTCGTATGGCTTTGGTCACCCAATGAAGCCGCATCGAATGCGCATGGCGCACAGTTTGATTCTCAACTATGGTCTGGACAAGTACATGCATATCCTAGTATGTTTCCTTCTCTCACAGCAGCGACCACCAAGGGCTACTCGTGAGCAAATGACGCGGTTCCATACAGACGAGTATATTGACTTTCTCAGTCGTGTATCTCCCGAGACGGCACAGGAGCTGACCGGCGACGGCACTCGATGTACGTGGTACACACTCACCTTCAGACTTGATTGGCGAGGACTGCCCTGCGTTTGATGGACTCTTTGAGTTTTGTCGGATTTCTTGTGGTGGCTCGATCGGTACGCTGCAAGCCTGAAACTGACACGTAGCGGGGGCGCACCGCCTGAATGAGGGCCTTACTGACACGGTCATCAATTGGTCTGGTGGATTACACCATGCTAAAAAGCGGGAGGCTAGTGGATTCTGCTATACAAACGATATCGTTCTCGCGATCCTGGAGCTATTGCGCACACACTCGCGTGTCTTGTACATCGATATTGATGTGCACCATGGAGATGGCGTTGAGGAAGCTTTCTACACTACGGATCGTGTTATGTCCTGTTCTTTCCACAAGTTCGGCGACTTTTTCCCGGGCACTGGTGATCTCAAGGATGTGGGCATGAAGCGCGGCAAGAAATATGCCGTCAATGTACCCCTGCGGGATGGCATTGACGCAGATACCTTTGGCTCTATCTTCCGTCCCGTGATCCGGCACATCATGGAGTGGTTCCGACCTGGCGCCGTGGTGCTGCAGTGCGGGGCCGACTCATTGGCCGGTGACAAACTAGGCTGCTTCAATCTGAGCATGCGCGGTCATGCGAGCTGTGTCGAATTCGTGCGCTCGTTTGGTGTGCCTATGATGTGCCTGGGCGGCGGTGGCTATACAGTGCGCAATGTTGCTCGCACATGGACGTACGAGACAGGTCTCTTGCTGGGCAAGGAACTGTCGTCGGATCTTCCGTTCAACGAGTATATCCAGTATTTTGGGCCCGAGTACAAGCTTGATGTACCGCCTACGAGCATGGACAATCTCAACACGCCACAGTATTTGGACCACGTGCGAACACGCATCATCGATAACTTGCGCTCTATGCCTTTTGCTCCGAGTGTTCAGATGCAGGACGTGCCAGGGCCGTCGCTGTACGAGGCTACCGGTATGGATCTTTCGGACGACGAGGATTCTGACTTGGACGAGCGCATCACGCAGCAAATGCGCGACCACCACACACAGCGTGGGGGCGATGAACTGAGTGATGACGAAGATGAAGATGATGGGCCAGACGCAGTGGCCGCCTACGAGTCTGATCTCGCTATTTTGCGTGGCCAGCGACCGCCGCCCATGGGCTGGACACCCGACTGGCATATGCGCCAGTCCATGATGCCCGTTCATCCGCCACCATTGGGCCATGCCCCCTCCATGTTGCCATTTCCTCCTGCGTAGAGCCAGTTTGTATACTACCAAGGTTCTTTCAGCAGGCATATCAGTGGTGCCGGCCCTTGCGCCACGACTGGAGGCCTTGCTCGAAGGTCGTGCGTGTGAGTCCCCGGTGGCCGACCTGGACAAAGCGCACGCCCAGTTTTTTCTGTACTTCCGCTTTTATTAGCCATAGGGCATACCGTTGCGATGTTCGTCATCAAAAAATACTTCTGGATCAGTCTGGTATACGTACACATATCAGCGTAGTCAATGCCCGTCTCCTGCGCGAGCTGCTGAAAGTGCGCCACCTTGGAGCCCGGGTAGATCTCGGTATAATCAAAGAGCGCTGCATTAGTGGGTCGACGTACACCCGGCGGGCACGGGCGTCTCTCCCGGTGTCGGTGCAATCCACAGGCCTTGTAGTGCCTGCCGCGCTACGCGCGGTGCACACGTACGCGATGCCGCCGCGATCAAGACATTTCGCCGCTTGAGCTCAAATAAAATGTCCCTGGTGTAAGGATCCGAATATCGTACGGCACGTCGGGGTAGAAGGACATGGCTTGACCGGAGCTGTGCGTAAGCTACACGTACGCACCGGTCAAAGACCTCATTCAGCGCCGCTCCACGGCGTTGCAGCGGCGGATCCACATGCGTATCGACCCAGAGCTTACAGTTACAACAAGGCACATACAGGCCACAATGTATAATCCAGGTCAAACACGACCAGCTTGGGCCATGCGGCCTCAGGAGCAGATCGCATGCGTGCAACAAGTACAGAAGTCGAGGTGCTCCTCCACTTCCCCGGCTGCCGCACTCCGCCATGATGGCATCGCCGGACGGAAATGCCCCGGCCTTTTACGAAGCGGCCTTTGAGCGTGCAAGGCCACAAATTGAGCGCATCCGCGCACAGATTCCCCATTTTCCTGCACCCGCGCTTCGTGTCCAGCGTGTGGGACAACTTGATGCCGATTTGCTGGACCAAGAGCTGACAGATCTGCTCGCCGAGCCCCTCAAGGCAGCGCTACAAAAGGTGCATCCGGTCCTAGAGAAGCAGAGGCATGCAGAGCTGTACCTGTTGCTACGCTTAATTCTCTATAAATTCAGCATTTACGACCGCTCCGCCTCGTATGGCGCCATGCTGCAAAACCTCAAGTATCGCAACGAATGGGTTCATCGCGCCCACAGTACCCACGCAGTGACGTCCACAGCGCGTGATGCCCCCCTTTCTATGGTTCAGCTTGGATTATACCCGCTCCTGACCATTGTACTACCGTACTTGTATGGAAAAGGCAAGACGTACATGTCGACTCACCAATTTGACCAGGCACCGCGGGAAAGTCCCCAATTCGTCGCGTATTCACTCGCGGACCACGCGCAGCGTCTCTGGAATTTAGCAGCGCTGATGAACTTTGCATTGTTTCTGTGGAATGGAAAGTACCGCACCGTGACGGATCGTGTGCTGGGTATGCGACTTACGTATGCAAACCGTTCGCTGCAGCGCAATGTGTCATTCGAGTTTTTGAACAGGCAGCTCGTGTGGAACACATTCACCGAGTTTCTACTTTTCCTGCTCCCCCTGGTCAAGCCGCGGCGCATCTTGTACAGGATGGCGCGCTGGCCCAGCCACCCTGTCGTGCTGCGGGCATTGCATGACACACTCCCTGAGCGCCTCTCGCGCCGCTTGGGCCTGGTCAAGGATAAGGAAGATGGTGTGGTTCGCCTTGCAAGTCGTGCACGAAAGCGCACGTATGGAAAGTACTGGTTCTTGCCGAATGAGTGCTGTGCACTATGCTTCGAACGACTCGAGCGTGCAGCGGGTGTGGATGTTGATCACGTTCCGGTCCCCCCTCCAGACGCCACACTTCCGAATCCGAACCCGCTACATCCGAACAGTGGACTGGTTGCTACCCGCCAGAAACGCGACCAAAGCGAAGCAGACAGGACGTCGGAGCGGGCCTTAGAACGTGCCAGGCGCCTCGAAGCGCGTCGTGCAGCACGCAAGGCAGCGACCGTTTCATGGTCCGCAGATCATGCACCAAAGCTGGATGGGACATCACCAAACGGGATCAAGTACATGGATGCGATCCTTGTGACGCCTTACCAAACCTTGCCATGCGCACAAAATGGCCGGACCTGTCAGTACTGCTATTATTGCATTGCTGAGAAGCTGCTGGATGAAAATATGGGAGACGATCTGCAGGCGGGCGGTGGTTGGGCATGTCTGCGCTGTGGCGACTATGTGTATGGAGCAGAGCGTGTCATAGTCGAGTCCACCTAGGGTATCAGCTTCTTACTCATCGTCCTCCTCGTCCGAGACGTCCATGTGGAGCTCTGGCAGTGCCTCCTCGTCCGAGTCGTCAGTGGGTGCAGCAGCGCCCTTCGACATAGGCATCGACGAAGCAGGCATGCTAACTGGAGACCCACGGCGAGGCGGCTCAGCCTCGACCGCCTTTGCCATCGGTGGCGCCTCAGGGGCCAACGTCGGCTCGGCCAGTGGTGGCGCAGGCACATCGATTGTGGCAGGAGGCGCCGCCTGAGTAGGCTCCAGACAAGGAGACTCTGTTGCTGGCACTTCAGTCGATGTTGCAGGGGCCTTGGGTTCATTCGTGGCCGTCGACAGAGGCTGCACAGGTACAACCGCGTCCACGTGTGCAATCTCGGCCGCTGCAGCCACAGGGCCGCGCCAGCCCGGCAGCGGCATGGGGATCTGGTCGCTGCCATCCGCATCAACGCGTTCCTCCAGCGCGCTTGAGTCGACTGCATCGACAAGGGGGGGAGCACGCGGACGAATCACTGTCAGAACTCCACCCAGAACATCCTGGCACGCCGCACGAAGTACGGGTGTCGATGATTGGGCGCCACGCATCGTGACAGCGTAGACTCGCGCCAGAATGTGCGATACAAGAGCATTATGGTGCATCATTACAAGCTGGCCAAGCGCTTGCACAAGCTGGGCTCCTGCCACCACGTGTGTCGAATCCGAGGCATCCACCAACCGTGCGCCCAGTACGGCCTCGCACGCGCCGAGCAGGCACAAGGCCCCAGCGCGTGCCAAGTCTCGGTGTCCAGGTGCGGCACTCGTACTTGTGTAGGAAAAAACATCAACGAGGACAAGAGCGCCTGCACATGCCATGTCCCACGCAAGCGACGACTTGGCAAGAATCACATCCTGTGGCATGCGATCCACCTGCGCAACAGTATCGCTCTCAAAGGAGCGAGGGCGCTTTAACGGGAGTTCTGATGTCCACAACTCGGGCTCTAGCACCACAAGCTCACTTAATGGTTGAATGGCTGCGTGCGCTATGCGCTGTACCAGAGGACTCGCGGGATCCAGAGGTATGCCGGCGCCGGGCAGACGATCTGTGCCCCATGAGCACAAGCCCCGAGAAAGTAGCAAATGGAGAGCGCGCATTGCCACGAGGCGCACCGAGCCCCGCTCCGTCTCAGCTAGCAAGCACAAGGTACGAAGCACACCACTGCCGTGGATCAGAGGCCATGCGGCCTCGTGGAAAGCCAGTGACAGCTGTACAAGGAACTGGGTGCCTACCCAGCGGAGCTTGGGTGCAGCTGACGCCTCCAAACGCGCTTGGTCCACGGTCGCACGACTCGATGTAGTGCGTGCCTGCATCATGGCATGAGCCAGGGCAACACAGCGGGAAAGTGGCACGGGCACAGGTCGGGGCGTTGGCATCGTCAGATACAGCGGCACCATACCCATAGCGCCCGAGGCAGCCGAACCTAGCAAGTATTCGCAGCGGCGCACGCTGCAGGGAATACCTTCATCATAGTCGGCAGAGGGCAGCTCCCAGGCAAGAGCGCGCGGCTGAGCCAGAGCAGGATCGAGTCCGAGAGCGAACCAGTCCATCGACGGAACGCTGCCGCACACCGCGAGCATCGCAGCGTCCAACATCTCAGTGACGGTCGCAGCCCACAGCTGAGCCTGTGATACCTTGCCACTTGCAGCACTGGATAGCATACTTGCATCGCTAGTTAGGGCGCCAGTAAGATGAAGTGAAGCTAGCAAGGCCATGGTGCTGTGAGCCAAGGCCTCCGGAAGAGGCGCAGCAGCACTGGCTGGCGACGCAAGTGGACCAAACAGCAACTGCATGCACAACGCATGGATGCGCGGGGTGAACGTGCGATAGGTGTGTGCGTACAGCTCCACGTGAAGAGCTAGCACATCCATGAGCCGGCTCATGGCCAGAGCGGTGGCCGAAGACAGAGGGTGCGTGGCAGCGAGCTCCAGCAGGGATAGGACGGCCTGGGCGCATTTGCTGATCCAGGGCGCCACGACGACGCGATGATACTCGGGATGCGCTGTACTCTCACGACCCATAAGGTCTGTCATGACAAACGCCGCCAGCTGAGCCGATGTGTCCAGAGCCGCAAAAGCACCAGCCGTGCGAAGGCGCTGCGCGACTTGATCGAGGTGAGTGTGTGTGCGCTGAATCCACGTAGCACCGAATGTCTCTGCAACCTTCCAGCCAGCTTGCGATAACATCATCGACATGAGCCGCGCAGCGGTGCGCCATGGGGGCGAGACGTCTTCGTTTAAGGCCACAGGAGTGTTGAGTCTCTGAGAGATGTGCTTCTCGAGTGAGTGCAGACCGTCCTGGTCGCCCTCAAGGACGGCCGCACGGATCAAATGCTCAGCCTCAGAGCTCCATAGTGCATCTTCGCCGTGGGCATCCGCCTCCAGAGCGGCCAACAGAGGCTCTAGCACAGGGCTCGACATGGTCGGCGCCGCTCAAGGACGAGGCGTGCGTTGCGGATTTTTTGAGATGACTCAGCATGACCAACACAGGGGCGCCACGCCGTGGAGGCTGTCGCGGCCGCCGCTTCCAGCACGCGGCACGACTCGACGCTGACGCCATGGCTGCGCCTCGTCTCGGACCTGAGGCGCCGCGCACTCAGCGTAATCGACCTGTGCCGCAGGTGCCTACAGGGCCGCCTTCTCGGCGGGAGACGGACGGAAGGTCGACGGTGGAGCAACTGTGCACGCTGTCAACGTTTCAGGGTTCGTTCCACCTTAATGAGTTTATATCGGCGCTGTGTGAGGAGTCACTGGAGAAGGCGCGGGGACAGCCTGTATTCGATCCGAAGCCAATGGCATTAACGCTCGAACAGGCGATTCAGGAGCTCCAGAGTATGAAAAGCAAAGTAGATGAGCGCAGCACCGCGTTACACTCAGCCGTGCAAGTCTCGCAGTCGGTGTACACCAAGAAGATCCGGCAGCTCATGAACAACTTTGACGCAACGCAGTCGTCCTTCAACTCGTTGCAGGAGCGCATCTCGGACGTTGGGCGCACGGCTATTCGGATTGGTGAGCAGCTCGAGGCGCTCGACCGCCAGCGGAACCGTGCGAGTGAGACGCATGACCTGATTGAATACTACTATATGTTTGCGCGCAAGGACACTAAGCGAATTGATCAGCTGCGCAAGGAAGGGGGGCGTGAAGGTCGCCTGAAAGCCGCGACGGTTCTGCGCCGCCTCAACGTCATTAGCCGAGAGGTGGACATCGAGGGCAGTGCGGACACACGCGAGGCCATCGAGCGGTACTGCGAGCAGTTTGAGCGTGATATGCTCAAGCTGTTCGATAAGTACTACCGACGTTCTGACCCGAAGCTCATGAGCCACATTGCGCACGTCCTCCAGCGCTTCAATGGTGGCATGTCGTGTATCAATATCTACGTCAACCAGCATGACTTTTTCATCTCCAAGGACCGCATCGTTGAGGCTGACAAGATTGGCTCATCGCCCGTATGGCATGCACTCACCCAGCCCAATGCGCCGCCGCCGCGCACAGAGCCGTCGCTGGATCACTTGTTTACCGAGATCCGCAAGACGGTGGAGCTGGAGGCACAGATCATCGCGGCTGTCTTTCCCACGCCGCTCGTGGTCATGCAGCTGTTTCTGCAGCGTGTTTTTGCGCAGAGCGTACAAACCTACGTGGAGACTATCATGCACCGCGCCCTGGATGCCGACGCTGCCGAGCTGGGCCTCCCGCGTCAGGATCCCGCGAGCGATGTGGCGGGTCTGGCATTCCTGCGCATGCTACACGTCACGCGCAGCGCTACCCTGCAGCTTGTAACGGACCTCAAGACGATCGACTTACGCAGTGCTGGCATTACAACGGGCGCCACCCCGTACTCCAGCAGTGGCCTCGATGGACTCTTCTCCATCGCGGCCACAGATGCAGAAGCTCTGCTTGGTACAGACAACTACAGTGCTGCGCAACTTGCCGCGGCAGGCGGCTCTGTGCTTGGCGCCATGCTGGACCAGAGCGTCGACGAGCTGTTTTCGCCGTACCTAGACCATGTGCGCTACTTGGATCGGGAGTGCCGTCTCCTGAGCGGCCTGTACGCAGCCGCGCTGCAGGCCTTTTTTACATGGCACAGGCAAACCATCAAGGCGTCGCGTGCGAATGCGACGATCTTTAGCCGCGTGCGAGACCAGTTTACGGGTTCTAACAACTCACTAGGCAGCTCCATGGCATTTGCGACACTAGCTGACAGCGCAGGCTATGGTGCCGCTGCACCGATGTCGTCGTTCAAGCGCCTCGTGGATCGCGCGAGTGGAGCAGCATCGCTGGAGGACGATGCCGCGTTGCCTGCGCCGACGCAAGAGCAGGGCGAGCTGACGATTGGGCTTGCCGAGCGCATGCTCCGCTGGCACGCGGAGGCACTTGGCCGCTGCGTAGACTTGTGCCCTTCGACGGACGTGCCGAAGAGCACCTTCACGCTTCTGCGCGTACTCACCGACGCCTATCTCAAGGCGTACGTGGAGGCAGCGCTGGAGACAATGACCGTGCAAATGTTTGGATACGATGTGCGCAGCACCTCCCCGCCTGACCTGATGGTGCTGGGCCTGCTGCAGCGTGTCGAAGAGCTCGTGGAGCTTTGGCAGCACTACGTGCACACGGCAGTGTTGCCACTCACGGCGTCTAGTGTGACGATCCGCCGTGAGACGGCCATCTACAACAACCACAACCTGCTGCGTGTAGAGGGCAAAGCCGAGGCTCTCGTGCAAAAGTGGACCGACAGTACGTACAAAGCACTGACGACCCCGCTTCGCGGGTACAGACATGCTTGGCTTTATGAGTCACCGCCTCTCTACGCAAAAGAAGATGGATTACTGTCCGAAGAACGACGATGTGTTCTTTGCGCAGCTCAACACGGAGCCATGCCTGGCCATTGTCGATGCCCTGGACGCATTTCATCAGGAAGCGCAGCGCACGCTCACCGAGCGCACGCGCGAGTCGCTGTGCACGGAGCTGGGTGTTGGATTGCATGCAATGCTGTGCGAGCACTTGAAAAAGTTCACCGTCAGCGCGACGGGAGGGCTTATGCTGACCAAGGACCTCGCGATGTACCAGGACGTATGCGCAAAGTTCGGTGTGCCGCTCGTCAACGACCGCTTCGAGATGCTGCGCCAGCTCGGTACGCTCTTTATTGTACAGCCTGGCGTGCTCAAGTCATACATGCGGGAGGGCCATCTCAGTTGCCTCGATGAGGGCCTGCTCCGTCCGTACCTGCACCGGCGACAAGACTATGCGCGCGAGGTGCGCGCTCTCGACGAAGCAGGCACGGCAAGCACGTCCGACGACGCATCGATGCAGAGCTCGTCCCTCCTTGCCTCCTTGTCGCAGCACACAGGCCTCGGCAGTGCATGGTCACTCGATAAGACCGAGTACTCGCGCGATGTGCCAGTGTTTGTCACGGACGTGCCAGATATTGGCAGCCTCATGGAGCAGCTCTTGCACCCACCGCCAGAGCGCCCGAGCTCTGCGCGCAGCATGTGGGCAGGTGAGGCTCCCTCTCGGAGCAGCACGCCGCCATCGCACACACACGCCACGGACTCGCCGCGGGTGGAGTCGCCCAGCTCGCTGGACCCCGTCTCTCGCTCACCGTCGCCGGCCAAGGCATCCCGTCGCGACCGGCTTGGACCTAGCATCTAGTTATGACTACATCAGGTATTCTTGCATGGTCCGACTCGCCGTCTGAGCGGCCTGCAACACTGCCTGTTAGCCGCTGCAACGCACACAACACTTCGCTCTCGTCGAGCCCCTGTAGAAACTCTTGCATTTCCACCGTGATCCCACCCGTGTCTTCAGTGCGTGCAGCTGCAATGGCGTCAGACGCACTGGACGACCGCCCAAGCAGCACACTCAGCTCAAAGATGCGCGGCACGCGCGCCAGGTACGTCTGCGGTCAGTCGGCCGTACGCACACGCTCCAGCCACTCATGCATGTCGTTTGACTCAAGTCTGCATTAGTACGGACAACACACAGATTCGCGAGCCGCAGTGCCATCGCATACCAGTACGGCACCAGGTCCCGAAGACGCACAGCCGGCGCACTTGCGTCCAGCGCAGCGCGCACGCGCGGACCGTAGGCGCGCGGTTGCTGTATCGCAATAATATCACTGCGCGTCAAAAACGTGTACGCACTACACTGCGAGAAGCCGTGCCAGCCAGAATGGGAGCTCCAGGCGCGCATGCTGCTGGATCTGCGGTTAGGCGCTGGTACGTACGTCCGGCTCGCCTGCTTCTTCCAGGTAGCCTAAACCCGGCACATCTATTTTAAATGTACATGGTAGCCGCTGCGATAAGCATGGAGCTCCGTACCTGATTCTCGGCCAGGATATCGTCAACGTCCCAGTAGTCCTGCTCCATGACGTCGCATAGACACGCGTAAGACGCGCTCACACGCGACAGCACGTGTAGCCTCCACTATCCCCTACACCACCTGCACCTTGCCCTCCACCGACGCAGCAAGGCGCTCCGGGCCGAAGCACGCTATTTCGTCAAGGAGTGCGGGCACAAACGTGCCCGGTCCCCGCACATGAGGAAGCGCAGCAGCACGCTCTGCTGCCACAGTAAAGACGAGCAGGCCCATAAGGGCCCCTACCAGCAGCTCGCGGCGCAGGCGCGGCGGATGCACGCGCTGCGTCTGTGCATCGCCCAGCTCAATTCCATAGTGCGTCTGGGCGGCAGCCAGCCCAGCTGCCACGATGCACCCCAGTGAGCACCCCGTCGCAGTGACCCTTCCCAGGAGCGGTGTGCCACACCGGGACGCAATCACCACATTCCCGTCTGTCAAGTAGTCCGTCTCGCCCGTCATAAGCACCAAGGCGCCTTCCTGCCGCGCCAGCTGCTTGACTAGCTCGGCAGGTGAGCTCAGAGTGCCGACGCTGTCGACACCTTGGGCGTGTGCTTCGCTGGACCCAGCCAGCAGACCGATTTCGGCCGCATTCCCTTTGATCAGCGTCACCTGTGTCTCGTTCAGCAGTGTCTGCACGGTCCAGTGGCGCAGCTTCGATGCACCTGCACCCACAGGATCAAGCACGACCGGTTTCCCTCGAGCATTGGCGGCTGGACCCGCCACGGCCATGCCTTGGCGCGACTCAGGAGAGATCGTGCCGATGTTGAGCACGAGCGCACCAATTACGTCACTCAGCGCCTCCGCCTCGGTGGCCTGATGGCTCATAATTGGACTTGCCGAGAAGGCCAGCGTCATATTGGCACTAACGTTAGACGATACATGCGACGTAATGGTCTGCACAAGGGGGCGTAGGATAGTGGCACTAGAGGTGTCATCACAACGCGCCACAGGATCATAAGGCGTGTGGTACGCGGCGAACAGCTTTTGTGTGGCGTCCAAAAGCGCATCACAGGACCATGTATCTGATGGCACTTCCTCTTCGCGCCGGTGCACTTGCACAATTGTGCGTAGCTCCTGCGCCGCCGCGCCAGGGTCGCGACGCGACACAATTGCCGAAATGACAGCGACTCCATCGGGCTGGTTCCTCGTCGTAGAGGCGCCTCGCAGCGTCCGCATCGCCGTGTGACGGTTGATACCTCCAATCAGGACGCACGGAAGACGATCACGTACGCCTGGACGCACATCCTGGGGATCCTTTACCAAGTTCGCCACCACCTCCGCGGCGCCCCGAGGTAGGAGCGCATCGTCGTCAGTCACGCCCGCCTTGGACTGTGTGGGCCAGCACGGGCCCACGCCCGCATAGTCTACTGGGCTCTCCAGCGCATGGCGGGCCTGCTCGGGTGTATGCACGGATAGTCCGATTGTACGCAACGGCCCGAGGCGCGCGCGCGCGACACTCAGCTGGGCATCGTCCTGCCCGATGTGCAGCCCCACACGCTCAGGAAGGGCTGCGGCAATATCCACATTGTCGTTGATGATCATTTTAACACCATACTACGGTTAGTGTAAGAACGTACCTTGTCACACACAGCTAGGGAGGCCCATGCAATAGCTAAAAATTCGTCGTACTCGGTGTGTTTTTCACTGTATAAGCCTCATTAGCGTACCGAATTTGCACGACAGATACATTTCCGTCACGAAGTGACTCATCCAGGCTCTCCAAGTACTCCTTGCCAGGCGGGAGTAGCTCGCGACCGGTAACGAGATACACGCCCCAGTCCATACTGCTAGTCATAAGGGACGTGCGAGACCGTCCCCCGCCCCCTCTTGCATCACGTGATTTGGAAAAGCTCAGCGAAGAGCCGCGCCAGTGTCGGTGTCAGCCCTCATGACGACGCCGGTGGCCCGACCAACGCTTGGGCTCGCCCTCGGTATGCGGCGCCACATGCGCGCATCAGCTGCTCCCCTGTCGCAGCAGTTGATGTGTTTGCGGATGAATAGCACGAAAGGGCCGAACAAGGCAGATGATACATCCGCACAGAAGAAGCTCGATGAGTTGGCCGACTTTCTCGAGAGCCAGCCGCAGGAAAAGACACGGCCTATGCGCGCGCCGCGCGCCAAGTTGGACCAGTCACAACCTGAGTCGTTCCGCGGACCGACGAAGGTCTTCCAAAATGGATACGTACGTGTGGTGCAGTCTAACGTGTAGTACTACGACCCCCAGACGCTGAATCCGGACAATATGCGTTCACAACCACGTCGGAAGGCTCTGCCTCTGCTTGGCCCCTCGAAGCGCGAGGCTATGAAGACGGATCCTTTTCATATTCTGGCGATCAACCCGTCCAAGCCGTCGCTGGCGGACGACTCGTACAAAAACGGCGCCATCTTGTCGAACTTTGTGTCGGAGATGGGCAAAATCCTGCCCCGCAATGTGACGGGACTCACCCGTAAAAGCCAGCGCTACGTGGGTAAGGCGATCCGCCGAGCACGCGCGATGGGCATCCTGCCCGTACTTAGTCGGGGGCAGGGTCGTGGCGGCGCTGGCTGGAGATAGGTATAGCTGAATCGATTGTGGGCTATGTATACATGCGACAGCATTACTCGTCATCGTCCTGGTCCATTCCAGCACCCGCTGTTTCGTGCTCAAAGTGTTCCTCGGGGAACGCATCTTCCTCCTCGGCAGCATGGAATTCCTCCATTCCCATGTCAGGTCTATCGACCGCATCTTCGCTCATAGGAGCATAAGACGTTTCCATCACAGGGGCTGCGCTTGCCCCTTCGGTGGGTATCGGCAAGCAGGAAGAGACGCAGTGTAGGATATCATCAATTTGCTCATCGCTCATGCGCTGACCGAGTTCCTCGATAAGCTTTACGTCAGTACCCTTGAGAACGTACAGTATGAAGCTCAACAACGCTGGCAGGCGCATGGTTCACAAGCTGTAGCCGCTCGGCTTTGGTGAGGCCGACAGCGCCTTCCAGGATGTTAGCATCTGGGACAACATAACCCCGATCGTAGAGCATTTGCTTGAATGAATGAATGTGTTGTGCGTTCTGAATAGAGCACGGTCTGAATCCTTGCGATAGCGAGGTAATGGTCTCAAACTGAATGGTCCGTAGGTTTGTAGGGACTTCATTATCGTCCTCAGCTAAGTCTGCGCCACTTTCTTTGCGGATACGAGCATCTTCTTTTTGCTCAGCCTCAGAATCTTTAAGGAGCTGTAGAACCTCGTAGTCGGATAACAGGGCGGCCCGCGCCTTGATCACGCGCATGACAAGGTAGTCGCGACGAGAAGAGATCGGCACTGTCGAGCAAAATGTGGAGGGAGCTTGCCTCTAACAACTTTCGCGGTCGAAGGTCTCGCTATCCAGCCTAGTGTCGCAATTTCCCCCACGGATGACAGACAGAGAGGGGGGATGTAGGCAACGGGCTTCAATTCCTCAAGTGGTTGAAGAGAATGCCACAGATCCATTAGTGATGGACCAACGCGCTCACATAACGCCTGACGTCCCATGGAACCAAAGGTCTTGGCAGTATGAGCTCCGTCCTTTTCGAGGCATGTGGTCAGATGTGCGCCGGCGTCTTCCCTTTTATAAATCTGACTGGCTAGATGCATGTCGCAGAGCCAACTGGCTCACCGTGTCTACGAGCGTTGTGCGCATATTCTTTATCAATTTAATGCCTGCACTTGCCTACGTCCTGGACATGTACGAACGCACAGAGCACAGTTACGGCGTGAACGAGGTACTTCTAGCGTCAGCTTTAGCTGCTATTGTATTCTCCGTCTTCAGTGTCCAACCACTTACTTTTGTTGGCGTCACTGGCTTGACCGACTTGATGAATTACACCATCTACCGCATTTTTCACGGCCACTATGGATTTGACCAGACCAACTACCTTCGCATACAAGCGTGGGTGCTAATATGGGCCGCTGGTTTCCACTTTCTCGTGGCCATCTTTAATTTGTGTGACTTTACGCGGTTCATTACCGAAATGACCTCTGATACATTTGGTCTGTATGTGGGTGTTATATACGTGGAAAAGGGCATTGAGCAGCTCATCCAAGAATTTTCCTTGCCAAACCACGCTAATGATACAGGTTGGCTCTCTGTGAGTATCGCCATACTTTTCTGCATCACGGTATACTACCTGACACAGCTGGGAGCCTCCACGTACCTGCCTTTCCAGTTTCGCCGCACTATCGGCTCACTTGCGTTTGTGGCAGGATGTGTGTTCTGGTCGGGCTTTTCTCACTTTCCAAAGCATTCTATCAAAGAAGTACCAATCTCCTATTTGCCCATCACAAGGAGCTTTTTCCCTACGTGGGACAGAGGTTGGGTAGTTGACTTTTGGAACATCGAGGTGCGCTGGGTGTTTGTGGCTGCCCCTCTGGGCCTAATGATTATGCTTCTCTTTTACTTTGATCACAATGTGTCCAGTGTCATGGCACAGGCGCGCAAATTTCCTATTACCAAGCCGGCAGGCTTTCACTGGGATTTTTTTCTTCTGGGTATCACGACATTTGTTTCGGGAATTCTTGGCCTGCCAGTCCCTAACGGCCTTGTTCCTCAAGCTCCTGACCATACAGACTCGCTCTCCGTCTATAAGCAGGTGCCTGTCGCAGAAGAGAGCGACAAGGATGGTGCGGGCACCCCGGCCGTGGAGCCCCTGCATCATACGAGTGTGGCCAGCTCCTTCTTGCATATTTCTCATTTCCCGCGCGTACATACCGTTCGCGTTGTCGAGCAGCGCCTGAGTCACTTGGTTATTGGACTACTTACTCTGGGCTCCATGTCACGTCCCATACTTGTGGCTCTCAGCATGATACCTCGCGCCGTATTGGCCGGTGTCTTCTTGCTCGTGGGCTTTGCTTCTATCGAGTCCAACCCGATCGTGACACGTACTCTATCTCTCTTGCAAGATCGTTCGGCGCTTACACCCTCGACACGCTCGCCGCTCAAGCGCACAACACTAGCACGGTTCGTCAGCTTCCAATGGCTCTTTTTCGGAATGACCATTGCGATCTCGCAGACCATCGCAGCTATCGGTTTTCCTATCATTATTACATGCATGATCCCATGTCGCGCATTTCTGGTGCCGAAGATGTTTGCGGCCGAGGAGCTCGCAGCTCTGGATGCGCCGACCGCCGATGCGCCAGCGGTGATGGTTTCCTTAGGGCCCAAAGACGAGGATGATTTGCAGCAACCTGTACATTACACAGTCTCATGATTCACGGCGATCACCAGATTCGTATAGAATTCAGTAGCCTTCACGATCGAATCGATCGAGACATGTTCATCGACGGTGTCTGGAGTGAGAGCACATAGTACGCACGGACATGCTGGAAGGGCGACTTGCCTGTCAGGAATGGGTGCAGTGACATGGGCCCAAAGCGGAAAATTTGGTCCGTAAGGTTCTGGCATCAGTAAAACGGCACGTACATGGTACCAGCGAGTATCCGTGTTGGCATACATGGTTGCCGGAGAGACACGTATTGACTCCTTCCATTCATTCGATGACGGTGGTAGTGTGTCCTCGTCTAGAGAGCCGAGCGTCACTGGCGGCTGATCAATATGCCACGTCTGACGAATCACTTGTGATAGCAATCGGAAAGGGTCTGCATCAGGACCACGAAAAGGTGACGCTGCGTGAGTATCCGTCGCCAGACCTCTCTTGCTAATCGTCACATGAGCCAATGTGTTGTTGGAGGCAGGCACAAGCTCATCCCCATCAATGGTGAGGGCAAACTGCATCTCTCGCGCAAGAGGGGTGATGAGCGAGCAGTAGCGTGAGAGCACCTCGTTGACACTCGAATAGGGCGCAATGCGATGGTTCACCATGGCCTCTGTTCGCTCAGGCAGTGCATTGACCTTGATACCTCCGTGAATCAGGTCAACGGCCTGAGTCGTGCGAAGCAAGGTTCGGGTCCTAGCATCGAGTGCTTGGATGAGACGACGTCGCGCCTGCTCAATGCGTCTCTGGTGTAGTGAGCTAGTATGTGCCCATTCCCAGATCTTTTGCCATCGAGGCATCGAGCGGTGCCTCCAGGCGGCCATTGAAGGCTGAGCCAGTGTTTCGGCCCACTCGAGACGAACAAGAGCTTCACGGAGGGCCCGCGGCATCAAAGGGCCATCGCGGGTGCACTGCAGAAGCTGGATAGATGGTCGCGATTCGTCTCCAATCAGATCAGGGAATGGATGGGCCTCGAGCGTCGCAACGATACTTGACATAATTCCAATGGACGTGTGCGGAGGCGGCATCGAAGAGTGCCCCCCGCGCGCTGTAGCAACCATATGGATATTCAGGGCACCTTTTTCATCCACAGATGGAAGCGCAATGGGCACACCGTAGCTACCATAATCAGTCTTGGACAAAACAGGCAGGCCCTCGTCGACTGCCGGTCAGTAGGATTCACATACCGATCATGCCAATGCTTTGGGAACCATAGCGGTCCTCGAGGAAGCGTGCAATATGGGACGCGCCCTGATGACCGTCAGATTCTTCGTCAAAACCGTAACTGAGAATCACCGTACGGCGGGGCTGGAAACCGCTTTGAAGCAAGGACTCGATGCTAGACAAGGAGCTGACCAGCCAGAGCTTGCAGTCGACGGCGCCGCGACCCCACACCGTTTGTGTTTCTAGATCAACGTAGCCTGAAAAGGGCGGATGTGTCCACTGGTTCGCCGTATTCTGTTCCACGGGCACGACGTCTTGGTGCGACATGAGCACGAGAGGCTTAAGCGATTCGTCGGAACCTTTCCATGTGTACAATAGACCGTGTTGATGAACAAACTCACGTGTAACCGGTGATTTTTCGGCGTGAATGAGCGGGAAGGAGGTCTCGATCCACGATGCAAAGGGAGAAAAGATGTCGTTCCAGCGATCAGGCTCCTTGTCAGGGTCTGGCCAGCCGTCGCCTACAGACGTATTGATCTGCACAGCCTCACTCAGTAATTGAACAGACTCTTTCACCGAGGGACGGTGGATCTGCAAGTCGCCCAGCGCCTCGCGAGGGTCGTACGCCTCCTGCTGAGGACACACGTCCGCCATGGGCCTCGATAGCAGGATCGTGTGATTTAGGCTCGGCTTGAATATTTCTAGCCACAAGAGTACAATAACAATAAGACAGACATTCAGAAAGATAGGCTTCCTGGACCACGAGGGTTTCACCGAAGAGTACGCGAGGGGCAGCGTTTCCTTCATGATGGTACGGATCAATGTCTTTCGGATTCGATAAGGGCTACGGCGGTATCCGTCCTCCACACGCTAAAATGTGGTCCGTGCGAAGCTATGACGTACGTTCGATGGGGCTCTGGTCCATCGCCACAATCAAGTGCGTGTAAAATTCGATGCCTTTGACAAGAGCATCAATCGTTGTATGTTCATTGACGGTGTCTGGATTAGTGCTGGAAACTTACGAATATGGCGACCCACAAGCAGTCCTGTCAGGTCCGGATGAAGCGACTGCGGCCCAAATCGCATAATGTTTCGCGTCAAGTTCTGAGTCAGTGCGAGCATACACACATGGTACCATGCCGTATCAGTGTTGGCAGATAGCGTAGTAGGAGTGACACGGACCGAATCCGTGTATACTGGTGAATCAGGTGCATCTTCTGGGTCCAGCGAGCCATGCAGAACGCGGCGAGGCTCGTCAAGGTGATACGTGGCACGAATTACGCTTGATACTAGCTCAAACGCACCAGCATCAGGACCCTCAAAAGGCGTGGGTGGCTTTGTATCGATCGTGAAGCTGGAATCTTGCAGCACCAGTTGTGCATAGGTGTTGTTGGACACAGGCACAACTACATCGCCAAACACTGTCAATGCAAAGCGGTAGCGATGGGCCATGGGCTCAAGAAGACGCACATAGTGCTCAATCGTCTCATTAATACTCGAGTGGGGAGCAATTCGATGGTTCACATATGCCTCTGCACGCTCAGGTAGCGCATTTACCTTGATACCGCCATGGAAAAGATCGGCAGCCTGTGTTGTGCGGAAGGAGGCCAGCTGTTCATTGGAGAGCGCCTTGAGAACAGCGGCACGCGCATTTGCCACGCGCTTTGCACGGCTATCTTGAGGAAGAAAAGTCTCGTACCAGCGACGCAGGAGAGGAAGACCTGTGTGTATGCGGGCATTGGACTGCATAGCGCGTTCGGCCCACTCGAGTTTCAGCAGAGCTTGCCGCAGATGAGCAGGCATCTTGGGTGCGTCGCGCATACACTGCAAGTGCCGGACCATAGCGTGCGATTCTTCTTCAATGGCAGCAGGGAAAGGGTGTTCTTCCAGCATGGTGATGATTTTGGCCAAGATGCCCACAGATGTGTGAGGGGGCGGCATCGACGAGTGGCCACCCGGGCTCGATATGGTCATGTGCATGTTAAGTGAGCCCTTTTCGGTCACGGCCACGGTTGCCAAAGGCATTCCATACGAGCTGGGGTAGTCAGGCGACAGAATCGGTGTGCCCTCGTCGACTGCGTCAGTATCAGGTCCACGTACGTATGAGTGCTAGGCTGTCAGGTCCGTACCGCTCTTCCAGGAAGCGGGAAAGATATGCCGCTCCCTGATCACCGCCAGACTCTTCATCAAAGCCGAAGTTGAGAAGGATTGTACGCTTGGGGCGGAACTTGCTTTGAACCAGCGTCTCCACGGCTGAGAGGATCCCAATTAAAAACTGTTTGCAGTCCACAGCACCACGGCCCCATATTGCCTGGTGCTCTAGGTCAATATGGCCGGAGAAAGGAGGATAAGACCATTGATCCAGCGTGCTATTCTCGACAGGCACAACGTCCTGGTGCGCCATCAATAGCAGAGGTTTGAGAGAAGGGTCGGAGCCCTCCCACGTGTAAAGCAGGCCATGGCGGTGGACCATCTCACGTTTGATTTGGGTGGCGCGGTGCATCGCGGGAAAAGCGTGCGTGAGCCAGCGGGAAAAGGAGGGGAAACGTTGAGACCACAGGTGATCATCTGTATCGGGATCAGGCCACGTATCGCCCACGGATGTGTCAAATTGGATAGCTCGGCTGTGACGTTCCACAGATTGACGGACGGTGGGGAAGGATAACGATAAGCCGTCGAGCGCCTCGGTCACGTTCCAAGCAGGAGGCTGAGGGCACACGTCGTACTCGCCCTCGCGCGAAAGAGTGTCCCATGGGAGATGTGAGGGGCTCAGACTCCAACACACATATACCACGAGGGCACAAGCGCACAGTCCATAGGTGACCACGGGTCGAAACCGCCGTGTCTCACCAGACTCAAGTGGGGTAAGTCCTTTCATGGCGCACGGATAACCGTGCACATCTGTCTCATCCCGTCCTATATCCATATACGTAATCATGCATCATCAAATGGTAAACGTCGGCGGCGCATGGGGCACAGCCGTCGTTGACGTAAAGTTCAAGTCCCAGATCGGCGTGGGAATGGGAATTCGTGTCAGCGGGTTGCGCTTGACGTAGCGGAAACGGCCCGGTCGGGGCGACACTGGCTCATCGCCGGGGCTGCGTGGAATCGGCGTACCGGGCGCAGGAATCGAGGGCGCCAACAGATTCGAGTTCGTCGACTGATCGGGCGTAGGCGTTTGGGGCGGAGGCTCGGACGCGTCGTATGATAGAATATCAGGGATCGAAGAATTCGCCTCCTCTGAAGACACCTCGGGAGCCCACGGTGTAATCCACTGCTTCAACACGTTCGAGGCGTCGTTCTCTGGTGTGTAGGGCCGCTGAAACAGGTCTTCCGAGGCAGGATTCTCTGTCGACACCTGCTGGAGCATCGGCGGCGAATATACATTCGCATCCCATTCTTCGTCGTGCAGCATCGCACGGCCAACGGCCGAGTGTCCGCTGTCGCTCGAGCGAAGCGACGATGAACGCACCATCGGCTCGCTGTGATCCATGCTGCTCGTGTCAATAGGGGGCATCTCTAGCGAGTAGTCAGGCACCGGAAGCGGCGGCGCCAGTTCTTTCTGCACGTTGAGTATGCCGAAAAAGTCCTCGACCGGTGCCTTGCGCAAGCGGCGCGCACCGCGACGCGAATAGCGGCATTGTGCATGCTTGCCGGCCAGCTCGTAGATCTGCACGTCGCGCGCTGCCTCAAATGTCGCCTGCTCGAAGCTCCATTCCGGTATGAACTCGGGGCGCGGAGTAGCGGGCGACGACGCAACTTGCGGCTTTTCGTCCGAGTCGTCGTCACTCACCCACGCACTGTCCCCCGTATGCTCAGCAGGATCGCTCGAGGCTTGGCCTTCCGCCGAGTCGCTCTCAGCCATTGACGCACCCTCGTATGACTCGGTCACCCAAGAATGGTCTTGAGTCCCGCTCTCGAGATCGACTGATGGCTGTAAGCCATGGTGCACGAGGCCTTCTTCCATCGAAAAGCTTGCATCCGTATCAGGCCATGCTGCCTCGGCGGTACTGCAATACTGCAACGGCACGCTTTGCTCCGGCAGGCACGCAAACGCACCCGACTCACGCTGCACGGTCTCACGCGGCGTGTCCGGTGCACTCTGGCGGCGCGGACGGTTTGCAAGTCCGAGGCTCTCCTCCGTCCAAGTTCGTGCATGCAAAACATTGTGCGACATGGACTCCGCCATAGGTGTCGAGCCAAAGCCAAGACCAACTAGCGGCATGCCTGCCATATTGTCTCCCGCCTGCGGGAAAAGAATATCGGCGGTCGTCTCGAGATCGCGCGACGAGACCGTGCTGGGATCCTCGTTGGGCGTGGGCGTCGGCACATCCAGGGGCGCACCCAGTTCCAGTGTCACTGCAGCGCGCTTGTTGAGCGGGCGACGGGGCGTCGCTTGCCCTTCTAGCTGCACGGGCAAAAGCGGCTCAGGCGTTGCGGGTTTGGAAGCCACGGCATTAGCCGCCTGTTGCTCGCGCAGCTGAGCACGCGTCAGCTCGTGGTTGGACTCCTCCAGTTTGAGAGACGAGTACAGTGCTAAGATCTGCTCGCGCATATCGGTAAGCAGCTGAACGGTCTCAGGCGGGAGGTCGGGCGCATTGTCCGACGTTGCTGCATGCTTCGAGAGCTGACGGGCAATGCGATACGACCAGCCACTCGTCTCCTCATCTGAGGGGAGCTCGGGCAGCTCGGGCAAAGGCTCCAGAAGAGAGGCGTTCGAGACAAACGACGACTGACTGCTGGTTTCCGACTCGGTGTCCATACGGAGACGATTCGACATGGCTTGCATGCGCTTCACGGCAACTTGGCGCCATGACTGCTCCTGCTTCATGCGCAGCTGTTGTCCCTGGATCGTCTGCTCCAGGTTGCTGCATCGCTTGCGCCAGTCATCGACGTCCTCATGGTACATGTCGCGCTCACCACGCGTGTCCTCCAATTCTCCCTGGAGATCCTGGAGCTGCTGCTCGAGCGCAGCCACGCGCCCAGTTGCCTGGTCGCGTGCCGCAGTGACAGACGTAAGCTGCGTGCCCATCATGTCGCGCACCTCTTCCAGCTCACGCTGCAAGGCTGTGACCTCAATCTGATGCCGCTCGCGCAGCTCCGAGAGCTGCTGATGCTCGGCGCTGTGTGCGAGTGCGCCATCACGCGACTCAGCGACGCGGTGTCCAGACTTGGGGCCGACCTGGTCGAGCGAATCAACGCTGGTCGCCCCGGGCGAGCCTGACAGGTTCGAGTCGGGACTAAAAAGGCTGTGCGCAGGGTCGGACGCCGTCCATGATGTCACGCCCGACTGCGTGCCACGAGAGTGCGACACACGGTGCTGTTCCAGGGGCGTGTCCCAGTTGTGCGAGATCGAGGGCGATCCGATCGAAGAGTCTGGCTTGTAGGTGATGCTTGACATGCGTCGTGCCGCCTTGGTGGCAGGTGACGCGCGTGTTGAAGGGACACGTGGCTGCGCCAGGGAGCTGAGGCGAAGTGGACGCAACAGGACGCGCGAGTCAGACGTGTCGCCATCCGGCTGGGGCGTCGGGGCCTCCTCAGGCCGTGGCTGCGACGTGGAAGCCTCCTCAGCCTCGTGCACTGTGCTCAAGTTGTCGGCATGCGTGGGCCGCAGCGTCTCATGCGACGAGGGCGGCGTGTCACCCAGCCCCAACCACGATGGGATCAATGGGCGGACGGCCGACTGACGGCGTGCTGTCCGGTTAGCACCATGGCTGCTCGGGTGCCGGCCCTCGAGCTTCTCAAGTGCGGTTACGCGGTCCTCCTCTTCGGACGTACCCGCCTCCAAGGCGGTGCCCCATTCGGTGGGTATAGGCGGTAGGGGTTTCTGGATGATCTTACTTGCAAAGAGGGCACTGGCCGGCTCGAGAGCGGAAAAGCGGATCGAGAGCCGGGAGCCGCGACGACCAGGGGCGCCGTGCATCGGCTGGCCGCTCATGAGCTCAAAGCCCTCGCCACGCGTCGCGATGCTCATCTGCCGCGAGTGGCGACTGTGTCGCCGGGGCGAGCCTGGGAAGGGCGGCGTGAACGCGTCAGCGGTGGGCAGGCGGCTGAGGCTGAAGCGCAAGCTCGAGCGGGCTGGCAGCCGCGCGGTCATTACAGAAGAGCGCCGGCTGTGTCGCGACGATGGCTCCGCCGGGTCGCCTTCCCCACTCGACCTGCGAGCGTAAGAAGACCGAGGATCGTCGTTGCTCTGGACGTCTGCCACGATCGAGGGGGGGCGCGATTGTCGGCGTGATTTGCCCGTGGCCCGCACGGCAGATTCATGCGCGATAGAATCAGTCGGGTTGGTAGCGGAGAAGCACTGGGTAAGTACGGTAGGCGTCTCTGTGCCAGTGACCAGCAGCGAGGCCCGCAGTCGGCGGGAGGCGCGTTTGCTTTGCTGCTGCGCGCGCCGACGCTGGAACTGGCGCAGAGCGCGCTTGGCCGAGCGGATCTGATCCTGACGGCCACGCTGCTCGTCCGCCGTCATGCGAAAGAGGCACTCGGTCGCAAGGTACCTGCCTAGCGCTGGGTCGTGGCAGTGGCGCGGCCACCAAAAGCTGGGCAAGGGGTGGGTGTTTCGCCGGCCGCGCAGCCCACATGATTGGCTCCACATTCCCGGTGGATGTTGATTGGACTATGCACACACCCTGCAGCGCCCGCGCAGCGTGCGGCGTCGCGGCCCTAGCACGAGGCGCGACACAGGCACTCCCTACGGCGGCCCCGGGGGGGCTAGATCAGTGGGCAGTGATAGAGGCCGAAGCGCATATGCGCGGCCGCCCCATTCGAGTGTGCCGCTGCCTGCCTCGAGGTCCATGTGCAGACCGTCCGCTAGGTGCTGTAGCACCACGTGCGAGGCAATAAGACTGTAGGGCCCGTAAGGCTTCACGCCCCGCGCCTGCGCACGCCGGAGCGGCGGCATGGGCGACGGATGGTATAGGTACCCTGTGTCCCTGCGTGAGTGAGGGATACTTACGGATGTACACGTAGCTGCGTCGGGTCCCACGGCACCGTATAGTCGCCGCCCCATACGAGGTGACCTGGGTCAGCGGCAAGCACGTACCATCGTGGGTCAGGTGCCGGAACACGATAGGCGTATCGACGGCATGGATGACGTTCCACTCGCCCTGGCATGGGCTTACCCATGCCATGCCCTCCTGCTGCAGCCGCGTCCAGATCGCCTCGTGGCCCCCGTCGGTGCTGCTTTGTACCATGCGCGCAAGCTCGGTATCCTGCTGCGTCCAGTGCGTCGTCTCTGTCTCGCAGGGCGGCGTGCCCAGGGGCATCCTATGCGCACACGGCTGGGCCTGCACTCGTGCGAAGAAAAAATTCAGGAAGGGCACTGATTTGAAGCCTGCATGAGCGCGGCCGACGTACAAGAGGTCAAGTTCTTTGGGACAGTGTCGTACAGAAAGAGTTGGCCATGAACGTCGATCCAGTAGCGGTATATGCGCGGCAGTGGTGCTGCGCACCGACTCGAGGTGTGCAGCGCTCGCCGACCGACTAGGGCCCAGCCATGCCTCATGCTCGTCGCGCGTCTCCACGGCGCCGCGCCGCACGGACGTGAGCCTCCACCGCTACGACGATGCAGCGCTTCTCGGGGCGCAACGTGTCGTTTTTGCGCGTGTCAGCCACTACGATTGTGCGCATGGTGCTGTACCTGGACCAGCGGCATATTCAGTGGATGAACGACCACGCTGAGATCCTTGACCGAGTTGTGCAAGATGTGCTGAAGCCTCAGTATGTCCCAGGCGCTTACGCAGACTCAAGACGCGGCTCAGTGAGCTCGCGTACGGGCCGCGCCACAGCATGCAGGTGACGGAGCATCGTAGGTGTGCGCGCTAACGCCAGCCGAGTGCAAGGTCCTGTACTACTTCCAGACGCTGAGCACGCGCCCGGCGGTCCTGCTCAAGGTAGGTGCGCGCTGCTCACCCAGACACGTACGCTCGACTTCCCCCGGCCCGGTGGCGTCACGTCCGTGCCGCTCGATACCCCTGAGGACCATGGCGCGAATGCTGCGCTGCCCACACAGACACAACGGCGCGCACCGGAGGCATCCGGGCCCATCGTACCGCCGAGCCAGGACGAGCCGCCGGAGGGCGCGTGGGACGAGAGCGATGAAGAGGCGAAGCCGCCCAAGCCGCATGTGCACACGACTTATGCGGGCTTTCATGTGTTTGGCCAGGAGCTCGTGCTAGTGATTGAGCCTACCGACGAGACGCTGCAGGCGCACCCCGAGTGGTTCCATGTATACGACGACGATGCATCGCAGCACGAGCGCCGCCAGCTATCGAATGCTGCGGCCTTGTCGTTCGACGCGGTCGCGAGCGGTGCGTACGGCCGCCAGCGGGCGCCGCGCGAGGATACGCCACTGTTCCGCGGCCTCTCTCCCGACGAGGACTAGCTATGAGGCCTTGGCCGCCGCGGCCTCTGCCTCCGCCTCTGCCTCTTCTTCCTCGATCAGCTCGAGATCCAGTGGGTATGTGAGCAGCGCGGCGATCCCACCGAGCCCATTGAGCTGGCGCCCACTCTCATGCAGCGAGCTGAACACGACGACCTGCCCGCCAAACGACTTGACGAGCTGGCACAGATCGAGCCACTGCTGGCGGACCGTGGGGTGCGTGTTGCGCAACATGGCATCGGACAGGAGCAGCGTGCCGATGGCGCCGCGCGTCGCGGCGAGCTTGACGGCGCGCTCGCCGTACCACGCACGCAGCTCGTCGGACGAGAGGGTGCGCAGGAACTGGTCGATGAGCTGGTTCTCGCGAGTGAACTTGGTATTCTGTAGCTGCGCTGACACTTCGGGGCTCTTGAGCACGTCCATGAGGGCGTGCACATGCGGCGTTGCGCAGTACACTTTGAGGAGCTTGCGCTTCCCCTCCTGGCCCAGGAGCACCTTGTCGTTCCGCCGCACGGCCTCTGCCAGTAAAAAGTCGTACATGACGTCCTTGTAAAAGGCCGGCGAGGCCAAGAGCACGACACGCATCTCGGGCAGAGAAAGCAGCTTCAGGACGGCCTCGTACACTTGCGTGTTGAAGCGATCGGTCAGCTTCACGGTCCCGCTGGACCCCTGCGCACTCGCATAGCCGGCGCCCGCACGCTTCCGCGGCAGGGCCACCTGGATGCGCTGGCGCACAATCGTCATGTGGTTGGTGAGCAGGCAGACGATCGCGCGCCCCTCGCCGAGGATCACGGCGCCGACCTCGGCCGTGCGGCCTGCCTCGCCACTCTCCGTGAGAATATCGAGGTGGTGCTGGTCCCAGCGCTCCTTGGCGATCGATAGCTTCCTGTTCAGTTCAATGTCGAGTGTGTGGAACGAGCCTGTGCGCACATGCTCGTTCTCCTCGGCCACGCGCCCCGAGATGTGCAGCGTCGGATTGCCCTGCGTGGCGCCGCTGAGGGAGGGCGCGGGCCCCGCCTCACCCAGCACGAGCGAGCTCATCGGCGTCGACGTAGCGGAGCCAGGCTCGCTCCCCGACTCTGCGTCGCTCGTGGGTCCGACACCGGAAGACTTGGACGTGCCAGCGGCCATCTCAAAGTCAATCTTGGTCACCGAGAGCGTGAGCTGCAGACGCATCCGGTGCGACTCGATCGAGCCCGTATTGGACTCACTCTGGATGCGCCGCACCGTTGAGGCACGCACGCGATCCTCCGGCTGAATTAGGTTGTACAGATGGTATAGATCCTCACTAGAAGTCAGCGCGCCCCACGTACTCGCACTCGGGCATGAGTGCCACCGTGCCACTGCCATCGCGCTCCAGGTGGCGCGATAGGATCTTCATGGTGGGTGGAGGAGCGGCACGGGCGGCTCGCCGGCGGCAGCGGCGGCGAGGCCGCCCATGCGCCGGCCACAGAGGACCAGCGCGGCTCGGTGCTGCGTGCGCGGAGCCGCAGGAGCGTGCGGTCTACGATCTATCGAGGCGCAGGCGTCTGGCGCCTGGACCGGGCGGTGCGACGCCGAGCGACACAGAGGCGCTCGCCCAGTCACGCACGGCGCACACTTAGTTCGAGAGGAGCTCGGTGAGCTTCTTCTCGATAGCCGAGGCCTCGAGGCCGTCGAGCTCAGCCTTCTTCTCGAGACCACGCTCTGCAACCATCCAGCAAGGCGCCAAGGACGCCAGGGAGCACGAGTTAGCATCATGACGCCATGGTACACATACCGAGACGCACAAACATGCGCGCGGGCGTGTTCTGGGCCTCGCGCACGAGGAAAGGCAGCTTGGGGTTGCTGGCCTTGATCGTCTTAAAGTGCGAGAGGACAAACTGGCTGGGCGTCAGGGAAACACACATACCGTGCGCCAGCACTCTGCGCGCCTTGGGGCGAAAAGTGCACGCGGATTTCCTTCACGGCCGCAGGGAAGGCCTTGCTGAACACGGATGCCATGGCGCAAGCGAGAGGAAGGGCGACGGCGGCGCCGCGGCCGCCCGCTCACGCACGTGGGGCCACGTGGTACCTATGCTCTATGGCTGGCGCTTGCTCCCCACGCCCTCCAGCTGTGCGTCAGCGGCGCGAACGTACCACTTTCGTGACGCGCTGCCAAGTGAGCGCCTTGGCACCGGCGCGCTCGACCCCCGGTGCGATCGATTCGTCGCTGCTATCTGCGAGGAGCCGCTCCAGCTGCGCATGCGATAGACCGGGTACGTAGGTGGACGCCACGTCGTAGTGGGGACCCGACTGGTGTGAGGGAGCGCACGTACAATCACGACTTCGTCCAGGACGATGATATGCGACTCGTGCCATCGGCACGGAAGGCTGGGTAAGCAGGCCACACGTACGTTTTGCACAGGCTGTCGAACACCCACTGCCCGTGCGTGCCCGCCTCGGGCGGGCCCAGCTGCGCCGTGCGCTCGGAGCACTTGCGCGCCGCGGCCGCCTCTCGCGCCTCGATCGTGGCCTTCGGGACACCCGGCACGACCGTCAGCTGCGCCGGCACACTCGCAGGCCGCGCCTCGTCCGGCACGATGTCGGCCTGCACAATGTGCGGCACACGCACCATCTTGAAGCCGGTCACGGTGCCGCTCGGAGAGCGCGCTGGCGCGCCGTCGTACACGGCGGACGCCACTGTGCTGCGCAGCGCTGCAGGGAGCGGGGCCTGCGCGCCCGTCTCGAGAACGACCACCTCGCGCGCCGCATCGTACAGCCACAGCCGTCCCGTGATCGACTGGACAGGCTCGGCGTACTGCGGGGCCTCGAAGCTTGGATACGACACGTCCAGCTTTAGGATCTTCGATCCGCTCGACTGCAAGACATCGCGCACAGGGTGCGGACCCGGCGCAGACGTTGCGCCGCGAGACATGCTGCGTGCGACGGGTGCGGCGGAGGGCGCCTGCGCAGCGACGCAGGCGGCAGGCGGCGACCTCGTTCGCACGTGATGCCACGCACGCGTGCGGCGCCTCCGCCTCTGCGCGACGCACGGCCTGGATGGAGCGCGGGCGGGCCGAGGACCCCAGCGGGTCAGGGCGCACGAAGCGCGCGCGCTGGGACATGCCGGACGCGTGTGCGCTGCCCGAGGACCCGGACGTGTTCCGCTGGCACAAGAAGGAGGCGCAAGACCAGCGTGCGGGGCTCTCGCGCGACGAGGTCGACCAGCGGGAGGCGGCGCGGCGCGCCGAGGCAGCGCGCGAGGTCGAGCGGCTGCAGATGCGCCGCGCGGCACGCGAGCGTGCCCAGGCGGAGCGTGATGAGGAGCGTGCGCGGCGCGTGCGTGCGGCGGATGCAGCGGCCATGAGCGACTGGGCCGCGCGCGAGGACGAGTTCCTGCTCGAGCAGGCGAAGAACCGCGCGCTGATCCGCGTGCGCGAGCAGCGGGCGAAGAAGATCGACTTGCTCCTGATCCACCAGCTGTGGTGGGAGCGTGTGCCGCGTGCCGACGACGGGTCCGACAGCGACGAGTCCGACGACGGGATGGACGTTGCGCTGACCGAGCCGCGTGCCTTTGTCGATGCGCTCACGCCGCAGGAGCGCGACGAGCTGCGCACGGACCTGGCATCGCTCGTGCGCTGGGAAAAGGACGCGCGCAAGTCGGGCGTGTGGCGCGACCTGCTGCTGCTGTGTGAGGACCGCGCGCGCGCGCAGGAAGACGCAGGGCCGCGGCTGGACCCGAGCATTGTGGCGGACATTGACGCGCTGCTCGCGGAGAAGTCGGTCGGCGAGCTCGAGGCGCTCCAGGCATCGATCCGCGCGAAGCTGCAGTCGGGCGAGCCGCTCGACGTGGAATACTGGGAGTCGATGCAGCGCCGCATCGTCGTGTGGCTGAGCGCCGCGCGCCTGCATGCGGTGCACGAGGTCGTCCTTACCAATCGGATCACCGCGCTGCAGCGGCGGCAGCGGCGCGAGGCCCGTCGGCACACGCAGGACGTGGCCGAGCAGCTGGACGTGCCGCCGGCGCCGGCGCCGGCGCAGCCGGACGCATGGGACGCCGCGGAGATGGAGCCGCGGGGGCTGCGCCTGGCGGAGCTGCCGTGGGACGAGCGCGAGCAGCCTGCGCGTACGTGGCCGGAGCAGCGAGCGGCGCTGCTCGCTGCGCGCCGGCGCGTGCTCGCGCAGCCGTTCGTGCCGCGGGCGCGGGCGTGGGCGGCGCCGCCCCAGCCGCTGGCGCGCGCCGACGAGATGGTGCGCCGCGAGGCGCTCAAGGCGATGGACGTCGCGGAGGAGGCGTTCAACGAGGATGTGTCGCTGGCAGCGCAGGCGTTCCAGTGGCAGGACAAGTACCGCGCGCGCAAGCCACGCTACTACAACCGCGTGCAGACGGGCTACGAGTGGAACCGGTACAACCAGACGCACTATGACGCGTCGAATCCGCCGCCCAAGATCGTGCAGGGCTACAAGTTCCATGTGTTCTACCCCGACCTGATCGATCCGATGCAGGCGCCGACGTACCGCGTGCAGCCGGATCCCGAGGGCAACGGCGAGACGGTGCTGCTGCGCTTTAGCGCGGGGCCGCCGTACGAGGACGTCGCGTTCCGCATCGTGAATCGCGACTGGGACTTTTCGTTCAAGCGCGGCTTCCGCTGCAGCTTCGATCGCGGCGTCCTCCAGCTGTACTTCCACTTCAAGCGCCTCAAGTACCGCAAGTAGTCACCGCGTGACGCGCCCCGCACCGCTGCACCGCTCGCACTCCGTGTCGCCCAGGAAGAACGACAGCAGGTCGTCCCGCGTGCCGGAGCCCCCACACTGGGGGCACAGGACGCCGCCGATGCGCGGATCGCCCGGCATCACGACCACCGCGCCAGGCGGCGGCCGCATCCCGTACCAGTCGACCGTCGGCCCGACGCGGTGGGCGCCGGGCGCCGGCGTGCCCCACGCCGGCGCCGGCCCAGCGCCGGCGCCGGGGTACGTCTGCTGCGGCAGGAGCTGGCCCGGCGCGGCCTGGGCGACCACGGCGTAGTGCGGCGGCGCGTCACTGTACCGATCCTCGTCAAAGACGGCAGGCGCAGGGGCCGCCGGCCTAGGCGCCGCAGGCGCGCTCACGTACGTCGGGAACGGCGCCGTGTTGGGCACACGCTCCAACGGGCGCTGCAGGTGCACACCCGTGAGGTCCGTCGAGCTGCCGGGCCGCTCGTAGGCCGCGCGCAGCGCGCCGGCGTACTCGCGGCCGAACTTGCGCCAGCAGCGGCCGCACGGCGACGAGGCCTGTGCGTGCTTGTAGCCCGTGTTGTGGCACCGCTCACACACCGTCCAGTAGCGCGGATACACGAGCAGCTTGTTGTGGTGGAGCAGCGGGTGGCCCCACTGCGGCGTCTGCGTCGGCAGCGGGCCCACGGGCGCA